CTCCTGGCAGATGTAGTCCATGTTTCGGACGTTGAGCTTCTCTCTCGCCTTCTAGACCCTCCTTGTCTCAAACTTGGGAGGCCCTAGGAATGGCAAGCGCAGGACTGATCGATACGTACGGGATACTGCCACTGACTTTGGCCGGTGATGGATAAGAATATTTGCTATTGTCTTGAGTTCAAGCAAGACAACTCTGTGGATCGGGATGAGGCTGAAAAACAGCATCGCCAGTAGCCATCCACCTATCGCCCCCAAGCTTAGCTGCGGCTCTGGAGAACCGTTGACAAACCAATGCAAAGCCTTCAAAGAAGAAGTTTGAAAGGGTGGCAAAGACAGAACTGTCGACGCTAACGAAACAAGCGGGTCTTCCAATAGACAGGCCATCAAGCAAGAATGACGACTGGTACGCCACAGAGGTTGTGGACCTACTGCAGAGAAGCTGCATGGAAGGTTCCTTTGAAGTCTGTGGTCATATAAGCAGAGTCTGCATAACCTGCGTCTCTGATGGGATAACTGCCCAGTGAGAGCTATGTTCGTCCATAGCGGTCTGTCGGAACTAAAGCCGTCAAGTCGACCAACGGGTGTCACTTCCAGGGAGCGAGGCTAGTATGGTATGCTCCATGTTATCGCGATGTCGCCTGACGGGGGGAAGCAGGGGAGTGGAAATAGACCTGACTACATAATTTTGGGAGCTCTGTTGGTGTAACAACTGTTTCTGTGCTTGTCCTCTTTCTTCGAAGGCTAGCTCGGCTTCATCCAAGAGCTGTCTGATTCTGAAATGTCTGACTATCTACCACGGCAGCTCAATTTTTTGTTCAATTTTTGAGTTGTTTCTAACCGGATCCGACTCGGAGGGAACCAAGCTCGCCCTTACGGGCAAATTTACGGGCAATACTGGGTCTCACCTGGCTCAAGTGGCTGATTTAGTGGGGGCTCGTTGGCTGTGAGCAAAAGCAGCTTCCCGTCGTACAGGAAGAAAGCGCCATGCAGCTATCCGCGGTCTCAGACCTCCCTACTGCCCGCCTCGTCGAGCCATCGCTGTTGAGCCCGTTCGTTCATTGGCCATTGTCGTCCGGTCAGGTCTAATCTTCCGGATGATCTAGCGGTTGATACCATCTTCTAAGGTCGAGGTCATCGACATGGATGGTCGATATCAAGTTGCGAGGGCAAAAAAAAAGTGACCAAGACACTATTTCACCAACCGGGAACGGGAACAACCATAGATGGTCAACACAAAAAGAAATAGTATTGCGGTACGAAAGTCTGTCGATACCCTCTTTTGTTTTCCATGGTTATCTAGTCCCTTTGGGGTCTACGCTCGTCAGACCGCTGTCTCCATCTGTTTGCATGGTGGGGATCTGGAGCAAGAGCAGCAATAGACATGGTCCAGCTATGCAAGACCTCCACATGGTGGCAGTCGTTCCTGAAACGTGATCTACCATGTCTCTTCATTAGGCCTGCGTCATCTCTTGGTCTTGGGTAGCTGCAGATCAGGAGTGGAACAGGTGAAGCCTCGAGAAATTGGAGGGCATGCGTTACTTTTGATCGGGCTAGTAGGGGTCACAGGTCATGGCCGGGCACTGAGAGGGGAACGGGAGGAAGAGGAAGACAGAGGAAGGGGAGCTAGCTTTCTGTCATGGCCGAGCGGGCGCTAATTGAAGTGTTGCAACCGAACCGTTGTCTGGTTATACCTTGGGAGTACCTGCTATACTCCAAGGGTGCTTGAGGTAGGGCAAGTCTGGACTCGCCATCGCGGCCTGGCCAATCTGAACGTGTACCTCGTGATGAATCCTGGATCCAAGTACCGGTGAGGTTGTTCTCATGCCGAAGACTTCCCACCTCAATCCAAGACATCCGCTCAACCCAGACGTCTAGATCCGGAGTCCAGTCGTAGGCCTGGGTTCACCGCTGCCTCCCCGTTATGGAACATTGCCTCGAAAGAGAGGGATTTTGCACTTGCTGAGGTGACTTCTCAGTCTGGCTGGCCGGTCAAACAGAGTATAGCATTTGGGCAGCTTTCCTAAGATGCCGTCACTTGTATCCACTCTTAGAAGGGGATCCAATTCAGAACAAGCCTCCTAACAAAGGACTGAAAAGAGTGTCGCCCACTTGTCTCTTGTGAGGGCCTCTTACATTCTATTTTCTTTTGACTCTTTGGGCTAGTCCGGTGATCGCCCAAAGCAGTACACATTTGCGTACCCTTCGTACCCGTCTCTGCATCTCCCATCCTTTTGTTTCCATTGTCTCTTATATTTTCCTTTGGCACTGAGCAAGACCTTCTAGAATCCTTTCATCCTCAGTGTCTTAGGGATCAGATCGAAACGATTGACTTTAGCCTCATCCTCTGTTGTTCGTCAAGTCAGATAAATCCTCTCCCCAACCTTGACCTTTTGTCTTCTTCAGTGTCTCTCTTAATCTCCAGCTTCGAAGAGAAGGTTATTTCAGAAAACTTACTGGAGATCCGCTGACTCTACTTCGATCTCCACCTTCGTTTCGAGCATTGTTTACATGGCGTCGATAGCATCCTTGTTGAATCCCCTTCCCGGCCCGAGCCAACTATCATTACCAACTCAAACACTGGCAAGCTCTGCGGCCAGTATGCCTTCTAATACGCCCCGCCCTAAACGGCCCAAGGTTGCCAAAGATGCCGCGATCTTCACAAAGGCTAAGCCCAGGGGGGAGGTCCGGTATCCCCCTTGCGAAGAGCGAGACGAAGAGTTGGCTCGAAAGCACCGCGAATTTCGTATCCATCCCATGGGCGATATTGCAGAGTACGCAAGACACATACCGTATAACAGTGACAAGAAATCGTTCCAGGAGCGGACTGGCCGGGAGAGTTTTGAGGGTGAGTCACCGCAGCCAACACCACATCCCCAAGGGGTGCATTGCTTACAGGCTCTCTAGTCTTTCAGTATACGTTTAAACTTCCCGGCGACGAGAAAGAATGGATTGTTATGTGGGATTACAACATTGGTCTTGTGCGGACGACGCATCTCTTCAAATGCAATGACTATTCAAAGGTATACGCACGACTTTGGCCGCTAGTTCCTGACTGACTGAGATCAGACGACACCAGCCAAGATGCTGAATGCCAACCCTGGTCTTCGTGAGATTTGCCACAGTATCACTGGAGGAGCACTTGCCGCCCAAGGTATTTGACCGTCATTTTCTGTTTGTATTCTCCTGCTGACTCTTTATTTTTGAGGCTACTGGATGCCATATGAGGCGGCAAAAGCGGTGGCAGCGACATTCTGCTGGAAGATCCGACACGCCTTGACACCACTATTCGGCCTGGATTTCCCATCGATGTGCATTCACCCTCAGGACCGTGGACGGTTCGGCCGTATGGTTATCGACCCGGCTATTGTAAGAAAGGCTACCGAGACGGCAAACTACTACCGCATGCTTGAACTCCAGTCTCCATCTTATAGTTCCCTCCGCATTCTCCGGACAGGAACTAATTTCCGTCCGACCTCAGCAGGGAGCTCTGGGTTCGTGAAGCGACTCATACCCCGATCCCATCAGCACCGATGCCCAGATAGTAGGAGCGGCTACGGGTCGTCCTCACCCGAGTACCATGGCGACACATACTGCGTCTCCCCAGTGAGCCCGTTCCGGAATAGCTTCACCCCCGTCAACACACCCCGAAGCGCCGAAGTGATCTGCTCCGAGTTACCCTCGCCGCGAGCGATGCTCGCTACCATTGCCCCGACGCCCGACCGAGAACGCACCGCAGGAAGCGAGGAAGATTCCGGGTCGGACGAGACGGGCTCCTCGACCATGTACACGGAGAGTACCAGTACCGCAACCGAGGTCCTCTCCATGGATCTTGATGCCGACGACGATGACGATGATGAAGATTACCGCGAGAAGAGCGACCGAAGCGATAGGGGTTCCGTCAAGTCGCCAAATTTTGACCATAACCGAAAGATCGAGACCCGGTCCAAGCAGAAACATAGCTCTGCGCTCTTCGCGCGAGAAGTCAAGGCCGCGCATGCCTTGTTGAGCCTGCACATGCAAGAAGCCACGGGCAGTGACGGCGATGAAGGCCCTCTGCTGATGGCCTCGAGAGGCTTGAACAGTAGGAAGAGACGGAGGGCATCTGCTTGATGTTTCGGTCTTGATGAGTGATGATGACGAGGTCAAGTTAGAAGGACCGGGTTGGGTTGGCGTTGTTTCATTTCTTGGTGTATTTGGTCCTGTTTGATTTGTCTTCAGTTTACATGACGCACGCTCAGCAGAGTCAGCACATCGAAATTGATTCTCTTCTGCCCTCCAGCCCTCCAGCCCTCCAGCCCTCCAGACCAAAATCTTATATGACCACCACTACCCACAGCAACAGCGCCTACTGTCTTACCACCTTTCCAAACCTGTAAATCATAACGGCACAATCGTCATCACCGCACTAATACACCCCAGGATCGTAGGTCTATACTGCACCCGCAATGCGCATACCACCTCCCGAACGTAAATGCCGAAGGTCATCCACGTGGGCGGACATGGTGGCGCGGTCCTCAAAGGAAAAGCTTCGGCCTCGGGGATCCGCACAGATAGACATCATCGCATCCTTGGCCGAAAAAAGATTTGGCTTTGAGTGTGTGGTCATATCAGATTGTCAGTTCCTGTGGCGGCTCGAGGGACTTATGGGATGCCTAGCATCATGATGATCCCAAGAAAGTTTGAGTCTAGGGGAATCGAGCTGGGATCGGGTCTTACTGCCACTGTTTCCACTTTCAGACTTTCAGAGAATGGTGGATTAAAATCAAGGTGCTTTGAGCGTTCAGAGGTATTTGCATGGTAACGCGAGTCATATTATGTCCCAGGCATGATAGTAACTCACTATGTATGAGGCTGATCTAAATGAAAGAACCCATAGACAAGACGACACCAACGAGATGTAACCATAGAATCCAAGTAGAAGAAGAATTGCATGAAAAAAGAAAAGAAGAGAACAAGGAGCGGGTATCCAGACGATCAACGCCTATGGACATTCTCTCCCTCTAGTCACTGTCCTCATCAAAGTCATCGCCCGAATCTCCTCCATCGTCGTCCTCGCTGTCATCCTCAATCACGTACGTCTTCTTGGCTGCCGCGGTCCGACGAGCTGGCCGGGCCGCAGTCTTCCGCTTAGGGGGCTCATCATCCTCCGAAACGTCCATCTTGCCTGCCGGAGAGTCCAGGATGTCGTTGGCCATGGCATCGATGTCGTCATCTGACAAATCGTCGACAAGCTGCTTCTTTTTGGTGGCTGTCGCCTTGGCCTGCTTGGATGCATATGCCTTGGCGGCAGGGGACAGGGTCGTCTGCTTGAGACTAGGCGCAGGAGCAGCCGGCTTCGCCGCATCCTTCTTTGGACGGCCACGCGGCTTGGGGGCAGCTGCGGGCTTCGAGGCCGCAGCCGTGGTCGCCGACTTGCCCTTGGCAACTGGCTTAGCCTTGGCAGCTGGCTTCACGGGCTCATCGTCATCGTCATCGTCATCGTCCATGTCGAAATCATCATTGACTTTGATCTCCTTGGGCTTGACCTGCAGCGATCGGCGGGGAGAGTTCTGAGGGATTAATTTGCTGTAGTCCGTCTCATCCGCATCGAAATCTGTGGATAGCTTCGAGGGCTTGGAACTGCCGACCTTCAAGCCAGAGGAGCTGCTGCTCGGCCTGGATCGCTCGGAGAAGAGCTGGCGTGAGTCGGTCGTGGAGTCACCGGTAGCGCCTCCAATGCCCTTGACCATCTTGCTCACATCGCCAAGAAGATCGTCGCCGTTATCGCTGTCGGAGTCGTCCAGGGCCGTATAGTTTGTGATTTTCCGGCTTGTCCGAGTCGGCTGCGACTTGGCTGACTTGGCTGCCTCGGCTTTGGCAATCTCCATGAATTCATCGTCATCAAGGTCGTCGTCATCATCGTCCTTGGGCTTGGGTTTCGCCTTGGCCGCGGCTCTGCCCTTCTTAGGAGCGATGTCTTCAGAATCATCATCGTCCTCTTCCTTCGGCTTAGGTGCCGGTTTGGCGGGTCCGCGGCTCTTCTTCGGGAGGATTTCTTCGTCCAAGTCGTCCATGACTTCATCCTCATCCTTTATCTTGGAAGCTGCCTTGGTTGCTGCCCCCCTCTTTTTCTGCGGTAGCACTTCTACCTCGAAATCATCATCGGAATCGCCTCCGTCACCGGAGGGAGCGGGAGCGGGAGCAGGCTTCGCGGATGGCTTGCCCAAGTAGCTGAGAAGACCACCTTTAGGTTCTGTCTTCTTTGCAGCCGCTGATTTCTTAGACTTTGGAGCCGCAAAGTCTTCGTCGTCCGAATCATCGTCCAGCGCCGCCTTGCGCTTCTTGGTTGCTTTCCCCCGACCGGTGGCAGTCATGAGCTTCGCCGACGTACGGCGGCCCATGTTAGCGACCTTGCGCTGGCGGCGAGCTTCATCCTCAAGCTGGAATCGCCATTCGTTGATAAAGTCATCAAGATCGCGCTTCCAGATCTCTTCCTTGGAGAGCTTAATTAAGGCGTCCATCTCAACCTCCCTCTCTCCGATCTGTCGTCGCAGCTTTTCCACGCGCTCGTGGGTTAGAGACCAAAGAGGCATGCCAAGAAGATAATCGTAAGCGCTCGATAAGACCTCCGTCTCGTCGTTGCCAGACTCCTCTTCTTCCTCCTCGACCACTGGCGCATCCTCGCCAGCCTTCACAGCGTCAATAACCTTGGGGAAGGCCTTGAAGCCATGTTTTTTCAACTCGGCAACAAGAACAGGTTTCTTCTTCTTTGAGATGACAAGATCACCGTCAATGATCATCTGCACGAAACGAGCCTGGTTGGTGAGCTTGTCCAACTCCTTCTGAAGTTCATTGAGTTGATATTGCTAGATGGCCTCCAAGTTAGCCATGCCTTCAAACACGCAAGGTGTCAGAGCCACTTACCTTGCGACGCTCGTAAAACTTGAGACGAACTGCGTAAAATTCCTTCAAGATATCGTCGACGGAAGCGTACTTGGTGATCCGGCCCTCAGGGTCAAACGCAACTAGATTGGTGGTTGCGATGGTCTTGGACAGCTTGAACTTCTCCTCCAATCCTTCCGACACGGCGGATTTGATGTTCTTCTCGTCCATTTGGATGACAAAGTGTACCTTGGTGTGCGTGTTATAATCCTTGTAGTCCTTGATGAAGGATGGCGTTTTCTCGGCCTTGATAATTTCCTCAAGTTTATCCTTGAAGTCCTGTGTCCAGGTGCGGATGGGAAGTTCAGTAATCTCCACCTCCTTGTCGCCGGTCTCCTTGATAATACCGCTGAACTTGAAGCGGTCGCCTCCAAGACCAGTGACTTCGCCGGTGAATCCGCGGAACCACGGCTGCATAGGCTTGACGGGCTCGCCGTTCATCAGCCGCTTGAGGTTGTCCACGATGTCTTCCGGGTTGTAGTTAGGAATTGAAGAACTCCAACCAGTGCCGATACCGTCAGCACCGTTGATCAGGATCAGAGGCACAACGGGAACGTAGACCTCTGGTTCAATCTTTTTGCCGTCATCCTCGTTGTAAGTGAGAAGGGGGTCATCCGCAGCGTGGAACATACGACGGGCAAAGGGCGACAGTCGCGTATAGATATAACGAGCACTAGCACAATCTTGACCGCCTTGGAGACGACTTCCAAAATTACCACTGGGCTCGAGGCAATTGATGTTGTTTGATCCGACAAAAGTCTGTGCGAGACCGACGATGGTCTGCTGGAGGGAGGCATCACCATGCTGGTACGCGGTCATACCGGAAACGTGCCCCGCCAGTTCAACCACTTTCATATCCTTCTTGAGGTTGCGACGGAAACACGTGTACAGGACCTTACGTTGACCAGGTTTCAAGCCATCGACAACAGAGGGAATCGACCGCTGATTGTCGGCCATACTGAACAGGATGAGCTCCCTGTTGATGAAGTCGGTATACGTGATCTTGTCGACGGAATGATCCAGATAGGTTCCAGGCTTGAACTGGCGCAGCCATTCCTTACGCTCGTCCGCCTTCTTCTTCGAGAAGGCAAGCTCAATGAGCTCCGTCTCGTGATCCTGCATGGTATGGAACTCCTTCAGATGGCGGTCGAGGTCACGGAAGTAGACCTGGGCATCTTCAGTCGTGCTCGTACCCAGACCCTTGTAGTACTTGTGTTCCCAGCCGCGTTCATGCTTGTGCTCCTCTTTCCAGTTCTCATACTCGGGCATGGTGAAGAACGAGCGTTGTTTGGTAGGGTTCTTTGGATCGCCCTTCCAAACCTTGACAATAGGAGTGATGAACTCAATCAAGAACTCAGGGATCTTCAGCAGACTAGGAAATTGAGCCTGAAGAAAGTTGATGAGCAAGCCCTTAATATGACTGCCGTCATGATCCTGATCGGTCATGATCATCAAATGACCGTAGCGCAGCCCGCGGGTCTCGGTGTATTCCTTCTTGTGTTGTAAACCAAGGAAGTTCTTGATATTTTGGATTTCCTGGTTCTTCGAAATCTGCTCAAACGAGGCATCGCGGACATTGAGCAACTTTCCTCGCAAGGGGAAGACACCGAAAAGGTCAGGTCCGACGACCGCTCGCCCAGCCATGGCAAGACCCTTGGCCGAGTCACCTTCGGTCAAGATGAGAGTGCAGTGGTGACCATCCTTGGTACCAGCCTTGTTGGCATCGACCAATTTCGGGTTGTTCATGCGGGTGCGACGCCCACCATCCGTTTTCTTCAACAACTGATCCGCCTTGGCTTGCGCGAAGTGCAGGATGTTGTTCATGACTTCGGTCTTCAGGATCTTCTTGTAGAAGTCCTCTTCAAGAACACATCTGCTGCCGAATTGGCTCGACTTTGTTGTCAGCTGCTCCTTGGTCTGGGAGGTGAAGGCCGGGTTCACGATCAGAGCGTTCACAAAAATGAAGATGTGGTTTCGAATTTGGGCGGGCTTCAGCGTCGCTCCGTTCTTGTTCTTCTTTTTGACTTGGTCGGCCAACCTGGTGCAGATTTGATCCGCAATGTAGTTAACGTGAGTTCCTCCCGCGGTGGTAGCGATGGAGTTAACAAAGGACACCTGATGAAACGAGCCGTCCGAGACTGTAAATCCGACTTCCCAGTGAGGGTCTGGACTGCAGGTGATGATTTCGTCCTTGGCGTTGGTGTCCTCTTCGCCCCGTTCTCGGCGGATGGCCTTGGTGTACATTTCCATGTACTTCTTGAAGTTGCGGACTGGGATGCGGCTACCGTTCAGCTTGACAGCGACCTTGGCAGTACCTGCCAAATCGTAGACACGACGTTTGACGAGGGCTTCAAAATCATCGTCCATGCCCTCCATTCCGAATTTGGCGTAGTCGGGCTTGAAGGTAACTTTGGTGTAATCGTCGCCCTTGGCATCGGTGATCTTGGCCTTGCCCATCTTGGACATGTTGTTAGTCCAGGTTTGCTTGTACTTTTTCTTTTGACGGGAGTCTTGAGTTTCGATGGTGAATTCGGTGGAGAAGACGTTGCAAAGCTTGGCACCGAAACCGTTACGACCACCGGTCACCTTCTGCTGGGTGTCATCGTAGTTGGACGAGGTTAGAAGATGGCCGAAGATCAGCTCAGGAACGTAAATTCCTTCTTTTGCATGAATCTCGATGGGAATACCGCGACCATTGTTCCAAACACTGATCTCGCCCGACTCGCGGTCGATGGTCACACGAAGCTCATCCATGTTCGCGTCATTTTGCTTGTTATCAGCAGCGTTGACGACGATTTCATCAAAGATCTTGTAGAGACCGGGCACATAAGTGACCTCCCTGTATTTCATTCCCTCCATTTCCGAATCGTACACCCACATATATTGAGTAGTTCGTTCGACGGATCCGATATATGTATCTGGACGTTTGATAATGTGTTCAAGTTGTGTAAGCTGGTAGATAGGGCCAGTTAGCATGTTTCCTTCTCATAGTGGGGTCCAAAGATCAGTGCAGAGTCAACGACAGACTCACCTTCTGGTACTTCTCTGACGCATTGGTGGACTTTGCAGGTTGATCACCAACTTCCCCTCCAAATGATTCGTTCTCCACGTCTGCAAGAGGCTTCGAACCTCCTTTCTTGCTAGCAGGAGCCTTCTTGACCTTCTTGGGAGGTGTCTGGGAAAGAGAGGAGTCGTCGTCGGACATTCCCATATCGTCAGACAGATCATCCTCACTATCGGGCTTGGATCGCTTTTTTGACGCGGTCGCCTTCGCGGCTGGCTTAGCTGTGAGTTTCGTCTGGGTCATTTTCTTTGGCGCCGCTTTCTTGGGGGCCGCCTTTGCCTTGGGTTTCTACGAGAAGACAGGTGTCAGCACGAGCTGGCTGGATTGAGAAATTGTGAGATTTTCGAGAATTCATACCGGTGCAGGCTCAGGGACGAAGTCGGAGCTACCGTCGTCCTCAAATACGGAGCCCTCCATGATAGAGTCATCCATGATGAGGGAATGTTATGAAAGACTTGAAAAGCACGAGCGGAGAAATGAAGCGTAAAAGAGGCAAATCTAGGGGGTCAACGAGTGACAAAAGGGTTAGCAGGAACGAAGAGATGCCAGAGACTAAACCTCCGGCATGCTCGTAGAAAAGGTGAGTGATAGATGATGACAAGGCGATGCAATTCCCTCTCGATGCTCGTGTCGTCGACTTATGTTCTTTCTTCCTTGTTGACGCGCTGCTGCGGCTTGTGGTTAAGTTGCTGCCAGAAACTGCATCAAGCCACGCGGAACATTGTTTTTCCAGCCGAAAGTGGCGCAAAAGCAGCCTAAAATGGAAATTCCCAAACAAGCTGGCCCAAAGAGGAAGGCGCGACCCAAACAATTCCAGGAGTGGAGGCGGGAGGGGAAATCAACAACACAAAGTCAGCGGTAAACACTAAGAAACGAGGCTACCAAACAAGGCTACCATTTGACATTTGTAGAGAGATAAAGAGTTAGACGAGTTTAGATCTATTATTAGACCCGGCCAGTTGATACCCACCAGCTGTGAGATCGTTTCGCTGAAAAGAGACCAAGTCGCCCTAGACAACCATATGTGACCATATGTTACCCGAAGCTCGGGAGTTCCTTTTGTCTGCTAGCTATCTACTTCATACGCTCATTCAGAATCTGCCACGGTCTTTTTTCTAAATTCAATGTGGCTCTAGGTTAAGAGAGCGTTTAGTTGGAGGATGGACCGAGTCTGATGCTTGTCTAGGTGTACCTGCATGCTTCTTCAGCAATATATAATAGCCGGTCTCGGTCACAGCGTCTTGATGGAAGCCAACAGTACCTAGGTTTGACGACGAGCTGATATGCTGAAGAGGATATACCATTATAGTCACAAGAGGGAAGGCCAGGTATATGACCTAGCTTTCACTTCTTGTTCAATTCCAGCCTGTCATTCACAACTAGTGACCAGTATACAATCCATATCCTATCAAGGCTTCTAGTGTTGAATAGCAACATCTAACAAGACAATATAGCTAGTTTAAGCAGCCGAAAGCCTTGGTGAGTAGCTGAAAAGCAGCAAATACGCCTAGGAGTGATATTGATGAAGCTCGGGACATTGACATGTTGAGACGCGAGCCAAATACATGGATTAGCAAGGCATGTATAGGGCAGTACAGAGTATCACTCTGTACTTGTAGGCTCTCTGATGCGACATTTCACTATGAGTACACTGATGTGCCTGAGCAGCCTTACCAATTAATCATAGTCACAGTTTTCAAGATCTCGAAATCATCAGAAACAATGGTTAAGAAAACCAGACGGACCATATGCTATCCCAATTCGACCGTGCGCCTGCTGGAGCGCATGGACAATGTCGCGGGGATCATCCTATCCGCTGGATATCAAATTGACCACCAGTACGGAGGCGTGCACCAAAAGTTTTGACCGCCGCTAGTAAGCTTGGCTGTATCCTTCTGACGCAGCCCCCTAGTAATTTGTATGGTAAAGCGTCTAGAAGGAAAAATATTCATAAGCTAGAATTTCAGATGATTTCTCCCTTCCATTGCGGTCCTTAGATACAGATTCAATAATGGCTTTCTCCTTCTCAGGTGTTATCTCCTTAGGCCAGCCAGATCATTTAGCATCCTCAGCATATTCCATTTAAACACGTTCGCATCTTCCAGAGCTGAATCCACAGTCTTTTGCATGTTGTATCATCTTCTAAATAGATTAAGCAGGGAGGCTACTAGCCCGAGAATCTGAATGCGCAATTCAATTGGATGGAAACCGTTTTTAGGCATGGTAAGGAAGGGATGCTAACCACCAAAAATCAAGAGATTTAATGAAAATAGTGAGTTTGAATAGTATCAAAGAGTTGAATGTTAGAATGTAAACAAAGATTTCTCCTTCTGGACGTGTTGCCATACAAATTACTAGGGGGCTGCGTCAGCAGGATACAGCCAAGCTTACTAGCGGCGGTCAAAACTTTTGGTGCACGCCTCCGTACAGGGTACCTAATCCTTATTTCTAGTAGTGTATAACTCTGTAGTCCTGATTCCTGATCCCTATGCAGTCAACTATCTACTCAGTAATTCATACCCATTCAGGGAAACAGGTCAATCCATGGTTCAAAAACCCCCCTGCGGAGAAATGACTGGTCTTAAGGGCTTGAGTGCCTGCGTGCCTTGCAGATCGGCCTGACTCCAAATTCGGGGACAACAGCAGACAGACATACTTGGATTCTTCCACTCACTAGATAAGCCAAGAAAATCATCTCCGTCAATATTGACACCAGCAAATCGGGAAAAGACATTTAAACTGAAATCATCAAGTATACCTAACTATTGACAAGGGATCGACGTGGGCGAGGCCTTGACGCAGCAAGATGGATGATTCGTGGTTTTCGTGTTTCTCGAACACACCAAAAGTGGGCTCGGGCTGCCCCTATTTCATCCATTCATCCTGTCATATCCCACTCCTGAGTCTAAGGCCTTCCTAGCATGGCTGCTAGTCAAACATCGCTGTCCACTAAACTGGTCTAATTCATTATTCTAACACCCTGAGGATCCACCGTCTAGACTAGGAGTCCATAGACTCAAGTAGTGTCCTTGACATTGGCCTAGGGAGGAGCCTTGAAACACCACCGCTACTTCTCCCACCTCCTCGACTCCTGCTGTACTGCTTTTTTCCCCTCTCAGTTGGCTTAAGGTCTCGCGAAGTCAGTGTTCACCACGTTCTTTTTGCTCTCGTTTCTAGAAGCGATGCTGCCGTTATTGGCGGTTTATCGGCTCTTCGTTCAGCTCATTTCTCCTTATCGCCCTCTGGTTTTGGGTTAATCCTCTTCGAATATTGGAATTTCACATAGATACTGGCTGCGATCTGCAATCGAAGCCTTTTTTGACCGATTAACTGTTGAGAAACGTGTGATTTATCTACGGTGGACCATTCACAATTGAATCCCTAATATACAGTACATCGACAATGGAAAGCTCCAACCCGATCGCGTCTCGCGCGAATGCCTCGAACAGCGTTTCCGATAACAATGAGCCAACGCATCCGAGCCATACCGACTCAATGGTGACGGTCCCTCTATCCGACGTGCAGTCCAATTCCGAACATTCGCAACCCGATTGGCGCACGCTTGATATTCCTCAGACACCAGTCGAGTCGACCTCGCCTAGGGAGATGGAGGTATATGATGAAGATAATGTGGAAAGGGAAACAACGCCGACCCGCGACTGTGTGAAAACAGAACTTGCGACGGATTGCATCTCGCGTGCCCCGTCTGTTCGGTCCCGTAGCAGCGAAGAATATGAACGAGGCGATGCAGTCAATTGGGAGGAATTGGATAAAACGGAAGAGCAAGAGCCCCGTGGCGAGGGATCTGATGAATCGACTGCTCTTCTTTTGGCTCGGTTGGAGCAGGAGAACAATGCTCTAGCGACAAATCCCAAGTCTGTGAGTCAGCACCGACTGCAGACAAGGGCATCGCGCGCGCAGTCACTGCACCAAATAAAGCGGTTGATTAACGAGGACCCTCGATCGTCTTTGCGATACTCTCAGCTTCCCCCTCCTCCCATGACTGAGCTCGAGTTCTGGGCTGCCTTGGTCGCGGATTACCCTCAGACTGCCCAGCGATTGCCGACTTTGACCTCCAATAAAATCCGCGGGGGTATTCCGCCGCCGCTTCGAGGCGTAGTATGGCCCAGCTTGGCGGGGGCTCGAGATTCTGCGTTACTAGCTGAATATCAGAGGCTGTGCGGCGAAACAAGTCCGTACGAAGGATTGATCGGAAAAGATATTGGTCGCAGTTTTCCAAACGTGGAAATGTTTCGTGATCCCCACGGCGAGGGGCAGCAGATGCTGGCTAGAGTTTTGAAGTGTTTCAGTCTCTACGATACTAAGATCGGCTACTGTCAGGGGTTGGGATTTGTCGTCGGACCCTTGCTGATGCACATGACCGATGCGGAAGCGTTCTGCGTACTAGTACGGTGGGTATCCACTCAACCAAATATTGTTCTATCTCGAGACCAGCGCTGATTGAAACAGGTTGATGGATCACTATGATCTGCGGACATGCTACCAGCCTGATCTATCCGGTCTCCATTTGCGCGTGTATCAGTTCCAGAACCTCCTTGCCCGCCACCGTCCCGCTTTGTTCGCTCACCTGGAATCCTTGAATGTGGAGCCGATCTATGTGTCTCAGTGGTTCCTGTCTTTTTTCGCAGTATCCTGTCCTCTTCCCATGCTTCTCCGAATCTACGATGTCATATTCTTGGAAGGGGCGTGCGAGACCTTGATGCGTGTCGCCCTGTCGCTGATGCAGAGGAACGAGAAGAAGATCATGGCCTATTCTGAGTTTGAGGATGTGATGCAATTCTTGCTGTCGAGGAGTCTGTGGGATGCGTGAGTCTGCACGAGCTTTGAATTTCATGCATGACCTGACTAATATGTGCAGATACGCTTGCCACGCCGATGACTTTGTCAATGACTTCGTCTCGCTGACGTCGCTGGTCACTAAGGAAAGCCTGCAGGCATTGGAAGCCAGCTACAATCAATCGCAAGGGGTGCCGACCGGCATCACTTTCCCTCAGATGCAGGCCGCGGCGTCGAGATTCCTGGGCCGATTCTGGGCGGGATCCAGTTCTCAGACGAAGTCCTTCAATCTCAACCCCAACAATGGCAGTATGTCAGCTCGCGCCAGTGTCCGCCGGTCTGCATCCAAACAGAGCATGACCTCCACGCTCAATTCGATAGAGTCAACGTCCGATGCGAGTACAGCGCCGACGGAGCTCTCAGCAGAACCACCCAAGCAACGGGCCAAGTCGGCCATGTCGCACAACAAAGACCGTGATTTGCACTCACAGATAGAGGATCTGCTGATGGCGCTAAGTGATCTCCAGCGGCAGCATGCAGATCTTACGCGGGAGCTGCAGCAGGAGCGCGAGGAACGGGAGGAGGACCAGGGACTGGCCAAGTCTATGCTGAACTACATCAAGGAGATGGAGGCGGATGATCCACCGTCTGATCTGATTAGCAAAGCAGAAGCGAGATTCATGGAGGTGGGCAGCACGAAGCGCGTCTCGATCCCCCAGACGAAACAGCAGCTCCGTGAGGATCTCAATCGGTGGAAGGAGATGCACGAGGTCGAAGCGGGCCGGTGTCTCGATCTGACGCGTCGCATTGACGAACATGAACAAGAGAACTCATCGCTGAGAGAGCAGTTGCGCGAGGCTCGCAGTCGCATCCAGGATGGTTACCGAGATCGGCAACGCCTGGAGAGAACCATCCGAGAGCTGCGGACCATCAAGACGTCGACGCCTGACTCGCCACCAGAGACGTTTGGCTCGCCGACCAGTGACGCGGGAGAGAGCCGGTCGCCCAGCGGGCTCCGGGAACTCAAGCTGGGGCGGTCGAATTCGCAGAAGAGCACGACCTTCAACAAGAGGTCGAGCAGTCTCGGACTGCAGTCGGTCCTGTCGACGGAGAACCACAAACCTGCAGCGGAGGAGACGCTGCTGCTGGAGCTGGTGAACGCCAAGACGGCCGAGGCGGTGGCCAAACAGGAGCTGGAAGAAGTCAAGGCGAAGCTGGACTCGTTGAGGAAGATGATCGGAGGGCAAGGATCATTGTCACGAAGCGATTCGCGCAATTCCTTCATTGGCCGGTCCTCGTCGAATCTCGCTAAATCAGCCACGGAGCCGGTCAATAGTGGAGGAGGATTCTTCAGTGGGTGGGGTCGCCGAGCCGTGTCTTCCAACGATTCGTACGCAGAAGCCAGGTGATTGTCAGTCTGTCTTTGCTGCATTGGTGTCTGGCACGTTGGGTAGGCGTCTGGTTTTTCATCTTTCAAGTATATGATACCTTATTTGTATATACGTCCAGATTGTACTAAATTCATACATATATCCACTTTCAAATCATACAGAAAAGTAACTACCAAAAAGCAGCCCAAGCCTGCAACGCCCCCATAGCCGCAACAACCACCCCATTCGCCTTGACCCCCTTCTTGAAATACCACCCAGCACTCACCCACACAATCGCCGTCATCAACGCCGCAATCCCCTTGTTGACGGGCTCCGCCAACAGCGCCGGATTCTGCGCCCAGTTGTAATTGATCATCGCTGCCAGCCCATCAGCGTCCTTGTCTTTTCCCCGCAAAGGGACAAGGATAAAGATAAGGATAAGGGATAGGGACAAACCAGTCATGAGGAAAAAGGCACTACCCTGGTACCAGCCTGCCTTGGCGCAGGTGTAGGCTAGATTAGGCAGGTGGCGGAACTGAGGGAGGGATTGCCAGTCCCGTGCTGAGATCTTCAAGTATTTAGTCTGTATGTATGTATGTATGTATGGACTCTGCAGATGCGGATGATGTCTTACAGTATGGGCTACGGAGATGAGGAGCCAGCCGATGGAGGTGGCTTTGAGCGGGGTGGAGGGGGTTGAGAGGGACATTTTGGCCGTCTGGTATGTTTTCTGGTGATTATTATGTGATGTGGTGATGTGAAGATAGGGAAATGAGATGGTGCTGAGTTTGAGATGGAAGAGATGATGCCAAGACCGAGTTCCTCGGCTCAGGATGCTCATGATTCCATGATCGTGGTGCTCTGGGCATATAAGTCGACTATTTTGTGTTTAGGGATATTTAGATGCCGTGTACGCTATAGATCAATTACTGGTATTACTCCTGTAGGAGCTTATTCTCAAACTCTATGAGACCACTGTGCTATTGTACTCTTTGGATTCCCTCACATACACTCCGCTCCGGGGCTTCTGGGCCTGGCGCGGCGTCTAGAGGGCAAGAGGAAAGCTTGACAGGATGATTCCTGTATGGTTGAGTGCTTGGAAATGACTTATCTCTTCGAAATTTGGAGGATATCGTGCATATTCTGAGATCAGTGAACAATGAGTTCCAGGCTGATGTCTGCCGCGAATTCTATCAAGTATGATGGTGATATGGCTACCGTGGATAGAGGACCTTCGTATAGAAGGCTTAGCCTCTGGATTTACCACTCCTGTTGATAAGAGCTGATCATTTCCTGGATTACCGTCGGAGGGCCTCCGATGCGGGGTTGACGTATTCGCGGGGAGGATACGTTGGATGCATCCTGAAGAGCATCTCCTCAGATTCAGCAACTTACAAGATGGTCCTCGCGAAACCAAAAAACAAACATGTGCTCAAGGCCTTTGACCTCACGGGCAAAGTGGCCGCTATAACTGGTAAGTCGCCAATGTATGCACGGGGACAAAGCTGATCAGCCAGGCGGCGCTCGTGGCATCGGACTGGAAGTTTCTCGTGCTCTGGCCGAAGCAGGCGCCAATGTATGTCTCATCCTCATCCTCATCCCTCCTTATAATGAGTAATGCTCATGATCAGGTCGCGTTGATCTACAACTCGTCCACAACGGCCGACACCACCGCCGCAGAAATTGCCTCCGCGAACAACGTCAAAGCCGCAGCTTACCAAGCGAACGTCAGCAACAAGGCTGAAATTGAAAGGACCATCCAGCAGATTGCCTCTGACTTCGGACGACTCGATATCATCGTCGTCAACTCGGGGATTACGTCGAACATCGCGGCGGAGGACTACACGGCCGAGCAATGGAAGGAGATCATGCAGGTGAACCTGGACGGCGCGTTCTACACCGCGCAGGCTGCCGCGCAAATCTTCAAGGCCCAGGGACGCGGTAACGTCATCTTCACGGCGTCTGTGAGCGCGACGCTGGTGAACGTTCCGCAAAAGCAAGCTGCGGTATGTTTTTGTCGTGTATACACCTGCAGCGAGATTGCTGACGGAAGTAGTATAATGCCTCCAAAGCGGGAGTGGTGCAGCTGGCCAAATGTCTGTCTGTCGAATGGGTGGATTTCTGCAGGGTGAATTGCATCTCGCCTGGTTTCATCGAGACTGATATCCTGGATATCCACCCCAAGGAGTGGAGGGAGAAGTGGTATAGTATGGTTCCTGCGCAGCGGTTTGCGGATACATACGAGCTAAAGGGGGTGAGTTTCTTTTCCTTAGGTAAAGTGCAGCAGTGCTGATTTGGTCACAGGCGTATGTGTTTTGTGCCTCGGATGCGTCGAGTTATATGACGGGGGCTAATATTGTGATTGATGGGGGATATACTCTTCCATGATCCCATGTCTCTGATGTATGGCAGGATCCACATTGTTGGTTCAATTCTCAGTAATTGATAAGTTGAAGCATACAAGTGTCAGCAGCGTCATAATCATGAAGACCAACAGTGCCACGTCTCCATCTGGAGCAGTCCATGAAGCAACAGATAGAGCGAAGGAACTAGTCAAAAATGATGTAGAGTGGGCTGCAACGTTAGATGTTGCTCTATGATTTAGGTAATAACCCAAGATGGTATAACCTATCAAGTGAGAAGCAATGACCAGCTGTATAGGCCTGATGTAGCGCCATCAGTGAGACAATTAAACAGGGACCTCTTCTGTGTTGGCTTGTCCAGATGCCATAACAACATTATTCTAAAACTGTCCTACTGGAACTAAGCTAGAGATTTGAGCAGTCAAACCCCCAAAGGTATTTGAAAGAATCATGAAGAATGAGGGCCGAAACACCAATCATGGTTTGCGTCTGTAGGCGCTGGGATTGATCTCGCCATTCGAATGTGCAAGTTCCAACACCTAGGTACGCATATGCAATAACCTCGACAATATACCATTAGACCAGCACGAAGACAGATCTAGCAAGATTCCTTCATAGAGCCTGAGTACCGGGAACATAGCCGCCACCTCAGTTGAAACGATCTGCGCTCTAGTAAGCGCCGCCATATACAGCGTTTAACTGTTGACCACGATCAACATGCAGCTCTTGCTCAGTAAATTTGATAGGCTTAGATCGAGCGCAGACTTTTCCAGGCATTTCATAAACAATCCATCTTTGCTGAAACAAATGGCTGGCGCAGGTGCTCGTCGTAGCTCGGCGCTTGAGATGTCTGGTAAAAATTGCAATTCCTATATTACCAGATACATAAGCACGTAGAACAACATATAGAGAGGTAAGAACTGCAGGTACTTGAATATCATTTCTAGCAGTCAAGTTCGATATCAATAATCATTACACAATGAACCTGGAAGAGAAGAAGTTGAATCTCCTATCCCTGGACGGCGGAGGCATCCGCGGTCTCTCCTCCCTTTATGTGCTCAAGGATATGATGGAAGCAATCGATCAGCATCATCCACCAAAACCATGCGACGTCTTCGATATGATCGGTGGGACAAGCGCAGGCGGGTGAGTTACCGGCCAAACAGCCCAGCCAACGCTCCATGTCGCATATCTCATACAAACAGATTAATCGCTATTATGCTGGGCCGCCTCAAGATGGGCGTGGACCAATGCATCGACGCATACGCTCGACTCTCCCGGCAGGCTTTTACCAGGAAGAATTATATCCCCGTCACTCTACGGGGTAAGTTCAGGGCGCGCTTCAACACCAAGAAGCTCGAACAGGCCTTGAAGACCATAGTGGTTGAACAGGGTCTGGACGAGGATGCTCTCCTCCAGGACCCTGATACGTCCTGCCGCGTCTTTGTCTGCACGACGAATAAAATAATTGGGAATGTCAACAGCTTCTCGAGCTTTCACAATTTTCGTGTAGACTGGGACTTGTACAAAGTTCTGAAGATCTGGGAGGCTGCAAGGGCGACATCCGCAGCGCCGTCGTTCTTTGATCCGTTTGTGGTGATCGATCCGCTGATGGGGTATAAACGGGTGTTCCTCGATGGTGCTCTTAGTGCCAATAATGCTGTTCGAGAAATGTGGCTCCATGCTAGGGATCTATGGGGGTCAGAAAACCTGAAGAGTCGGCTGGGATGTCTGGTGTCTTTGGGTACTGGCATGCGGGCTGAGATGAACTTTACTGGGGGATTCATCCAGGAACTTAAGCTGAGGAAGCGGATTCTGACGGATACGGAGTTTGATAGCGGAGACATTTGCCTATGAGCATTATGATCTAGTTGAGGAACACCGATACTTCCGATTCAATGTTTCGAATGCATTGGGGGATATTGGACTGGGGGAGGTGAAGAAGATGGACAAGATTGTTTCTGAGACGAGGAGATATCTTGTCAATGATGATGTTCGCCAGGAGATTGCGATGTGTGCTGCATCATTGCAACAGAGGCAGGTTGAGTAAGATAGAGCCACTTTCTACCATGCTTTTGCATTTTTGTTTTGTATCAATGTCACCTAGCATGATGTGTTTACTTGTGCGTGTGTATGTTGACTTGAAATTTAAATGGTAGCTATGAGTGTATGAACAAGTGATCGCCAGAAATTAATTGACAAGAAATTGTTTCAGTTTGAGACCTTCCAGCGTATCGCCTGAACCCTCCAATAGAGAAAAGGAGCTATGGGGGCACTTGTGATCGATATACCCTGTCTGGTGTCTGTAAATTGAAGCCCTCCAATTCGGAGCAACAAATGACTGGACAGATTTGATCAAGCCTGTGACATTGCAACCCTTGTAATAGAATTTGACCTCTGACTCGAGGAGGCCCTCTGAAAGCATTTGCTTCGTGAGAGAACCAAGCATGATGGAGCTACACTCGAAGCTGCAACCTTTAGATCCTCTCATGAACGCTTCACATTCTCTCTGAAGTTGAAGAATGATCTTGCATATAGCCTGTTGTCTTTTTTGGTTCATCTCGTCTAGATCCCTGGTCAGCGCTCTTCCTTATAGAGAGGTTCGGTCGAGACCTACAAATGATGCGTGCTGGAATTGGCAACTCCAGTGCGTTGATCTCATCCTTGCTCTGGGACATGGCAATCGAAGTCGCTTTCTTAAACTTCGTGGGAATATTGAAGTACCAAGCGACCCATAGCCACAAGATCAAGGTCCGTGAGTATGTACTTGGAAGTTCTTCTCTGAGACATGTAATCCACGCATCACGGATGAACCCCACGAGATCATTGCATTCGTAGTAGTCTGCGAGAACGGCAATCTTAGCAGCGAGCTCGAGGCTCACCCTCTTTGGCAGCTTGTGGTGCTGGCAATGGAGAATTCGAAGGAGGATCAAGAAAGCCTCAACATCCCAGCTCTCAGTGGTAATCTCGACTGATCCGGTTCCGACAAAAGTTGAACCTTCTTTCCATTTGCCAGTCAGGGCTCTCTTGAACACGGGGGAGGCCAGCATCAAGTGTTTTGCGGACACTTGAATGCGGACGTCGGGTTTAGACGGCACACTGTTCACCTCGTCGACAGACCCATTGGCTGGCTCGTCATTCGAAGCTTCAGAGTCGCTATCAAACTCAATCATGGCGGGCACTACTTTGTCTGATTTTTCTGCAGACTGTTAGTCAATATGAAGAGTAGGTAGTGTCTAGTAACTCACCGGAATCCGCAGGCGCTTCAACTTGAGCACTCTCATCAGTCCAGACCGCGAAAGGTGCATTGGGATTATGCACGATGATGATCACTTCGCCTTCCGGGTCGATAATATGAATTCCCTCCTCCATGGTGATGTTGAGTCGCTTTGAGATATGCTTCTGGATACTGTAGACGAAGGGAAAGATCGATCAAGCTGAGAGCCAAAGGATAAAATATGAGATCAATGCTTTCAGCATTAGCTTTAAGTATGAACGTGACCTTGTGGAAGATGTCTGTCTAGTGGTCTGCAGCTGTGTAGTAAGTATACCTTATATAGTGATGATGGTACCTGGGGGCTCGCTTTAATAGTTCGCTCGTATCATGTCCAGCTTGCTTTCACCTCATCTGCTAAGAGGTTCTCTTCATCCATCCCTTGATGGAAATAAGAAGGACCTTAGATTGCTCTCACAGGTAAGTCTGCAGTTTCTCTCATCACTGTTGTTTTAGTCTTCCACTCACTATCAGGGCACACAGCCCAGACCACTCCTAGATCGTACCTTCACCCTTTCATCGACCTTCCCTCGACATATATCCTGATCCTCCCCACGCCACCACCAGCATCTCACCGTACTACTAGCTCCCTCCAAAACCTCCACCGAAAGTTAAGATACCCACCTACAAATCCAGCCGACATATTCGCCCGCATAAGCCTTTGAGGCTGGTGTCTCGATTCCCGGAATGAAGAAGTCGCCTCCTTCGACATCCACTTTCAAGCACATCTCCGCAACGTTTCTAAGTCCTCGTTTGCCTCACTAGCTGAGACAAAATTGACGACTAGATCCTGAATGACGTAAACCCCTGTCCCTGCTCTGATTTCCTTCTCAGGCGGATGCGGCACAAGACCACACAATAGAAAGCGCTCAAGAACCGCGTCGAATGCAATTGTCCCTTAGTTGGGGGAACGTGGTACGAGAATGTCTATCCCGGGGTTGGATGGTTAGTCCTTAGCTTTCTCTACGTTGAGACGATCCGCTGATGGTTCTGGCAGTGACATTCCGGCCCGTACGTTTTATTCACAGTCACTGCTGCTTGGTCTAATATCACGTAGATAGCTATGTCTTCCCATTTGAACCAAATCCTAATTGGTCCAAGTTCCATGCCAGTGGATCAGAGATCCAGGACTACATCGTCAACACGACGGACAAGTACGGTCTCAGAGACAAAATCACATTCAACACGAAGCTTCCAGAAGCGGTTTGGAACGAAAATGATGGAAAGTGGAATCTCACGCTGGAGCAGGCAGGTTCGCTCATCGAGGACGTGGCCGATGTTGTCCTGGATGGTAGTGGCATCCTAAAGTACGCGACTATTCCTCCGGTCGTCAAGTATGAGACTGACTTGGGACAGTTGATGGAAATGGCCCGACGTCGAGGGCATGGATTTATTTCAAGGAAAACTCCTTCATAGTGCCCGATGGTAAGCGCTACGGTAGTTCGCTTGTGCTCTGTAGCTAACGATACAGGGATCCGGACTACGACTGGACAGGAAGGAGAATTGCCGTCATTGGCAACGGGTCTTATGCTGTGCAGATTGTTCCAGCACTTCAGCCAAAAGCCGCAAAGATAGTCAACTACATCCGCCGCGCGACCTGGGTGTCCACGAATCTCTGTGGGAATCTGGCCAAAGATGGCATGGGGACGAATTTTGAATTCACGGAGGAGGAAAAGCAGCATTTCAGAGATGACCCTGAGGAGTTTCTCGAGTACCGCAAGATAGTCGAGGACTCGTATGTTCGTCTCTGTCAATATCAGAATTGTGCTAATACCCCCTCAGGGTCAACTCCGTTTTCCGACTCATGCTCTCCGGCTCCGAAGAGAACAGATTCCTGTTCAAGCTCGTCGACAGCGTTATGCGAGCCCGGTTGTCCAAGGATCCAGAATTAGCCGAAAAGCTCATTCCAAAGTATGAAATTGGATGCCGGCGTCTCAGCCCCGGAGACGGCTACCTCGAAGTCCTGCAGGTAGACAACGCGGAGATCTGCTTCAACAGCATCCAACGCATTACCGAGACCGGTATCCAGACGGACAAAGGGGCCGAAGAGTTTGACCTGATCGTCTGTGCTACCGGATTCAACACCTCTTTCATTCCTGCCTGGGAGCTCGTTGGCCGAGACGGACGACGTCTCGACGAGGAGTGGAAGGAGAAGCCCGAGGCGTACTTCTCTGTCTGCGCGGCCGGTATCCCGAACTACTTCATGTTCGCTGGCCCGAACTGCCCCATTGGACATGGCTCGGTGCCGCAGATGCTCGCCTGGACGGCGGACTATATGTTAGATTGGGTTCAAAAGATAGCAAGCGAAGATATCAAGTATGTCCGTTCCTAGTATACAATGGCATCTACTGACTATCCAGATCGGTTGCCGTCAAAGTCTCCGTCGTCCGTGATTACAACACCTACGCGCAGGAGAATCTGAAACACGCGGTCTGGTCCAAGGACTGCCATGCCTGGTACAGCAAGAAGAACAAGGGAGAGGGTGTCACGGTCACGGCAATGTATCCGGGAAGTGTCTTGCACTACAAGGGTGAGTTGCTACTGCCTACTTACACGGATATACTAACCCTGGCGCAGCCTTCCTGAGCACTATTCGCGGCGAACATTCTGATATCCGGTACAACACGACCAATCCGTTCCGATATCTTGGAAATGGGGAGCTGGCTTGGGAGCGAGGGGAGGGAGCGGATCTGGCGTTTTACCTGAAGTAGGCTGTACAAAGAGTACACTCTTCCGAGATAACGAAAAGATTGATGAGTATTGTTTAACTGGGCTTTTCAAAGTATGGGCCTAAAAGTGACACTATGGGGCCACTGGTTGAATGGAATACGAGCGATGACCTAAAGAGAGGCCTCCCTATGTCTATCTTTTCAAACGGTTGAAGCTGCCTAAGGCACAGCCGTTGCCATGTGATCTACCGCGACTACCTCTTTTGATTCTCCCTTCAAGTTCCTCTTTCTCCATCATAATCCTTAGACTGTGCACTGATTTGCCTGACTGCGGTTGGGAGAATGATGGAACAGTCGCATCATGATGTAATTTATTGACAATGCATCCCATCATCAGCAGAGATACGGAGAAACACATTGTCCTCCTGACGAGATGGCCTCTCCACGATCTACTCTCAAGACTTCGAAGGACTCCAGAGCATCCCCATTCCCCAGAGACTCACATTTGTCTGAGAAAGTCCATTTCAAGCAGCCTCGGAATGCAGATCCGGCTCATATTGGCCACGCCGCAGATAACAAGCCCGGGGTGGCCGACTGCTAGGTTTGAGGAGTCCACGTTCCATTGTGCCCGGGGTACAATTGCGCCCTATCCTTTACTTAATCGCGGAGGCGAGTGCGGAGAACGATTGGCAGTTGACTGCGCTACCCTCCCCGGATGTTTCCTCCACATCCAAACCCTTGGTGAAGCTTGGTAGAGCTTACTCTGGCCTATGGTAGCGTGACGTCAAACCAATCGGAGGCAAGAAGGTGATAATCGTAGTCTAGGCCGGCCGCGAGAGGCGATTCTCGTATGGCAGAGCTGGACGCATTTAATGGAGAAAATCCCCCATTCTAATTGAGGCTAAGACTCATCATGAGCACCGCTCGCAACCTTCTGTTGAACCATATCCTCAATTCAAACTCAATGCACCATGTCTGCCTCCCATGGCTCCCATCCCGATTTCGACGTTTCCCAGGAGCTTGGCTTGTCTGATGGGGAGAAGCAAGAGGCACCGGATGGTACCGCAGCGCATTCGCCTGCGTCTCAGTCTAGAGCCTGCCATGGCGAGGAACGGCAGAAGGAAGAGGGAGCCGATGGGGCGGCTGATGGACGGGCCGATGGCAAGGTAGAGTTGAAGGAGACTGACTGCTATGATAAACTGGGGTTCTCCTATCCAGCGTGGAAGAAATGGACAATCTTGACGGTCGTCGTCATGGTTCAGATTTCCATGAACTTCAATGCCAGTTTCTACGCCAGCGGAATCACTCCGATTGCTAAACACTTTCACATCGCAAAACAAGCTGCAAGAGTGGGTCAAATGGACTTCCTCATTGCCTACGGATTCGGTAGCGAGTTCTGGGCTCCCTGGAGTGAAGAGTATGGGAGATGGCCCGTCATGCAACTCAGTTTGTTCTTTGTGAACATATGGCAAATACCATGCGCCCTGGCTCCCAATTTTGGCACCATTGTGGTCTGTCGTGCGTTGGGTGGTCTGTCATCTGCCGGTGGCTCTGTGACACTCGGTATGGTTGCGGATATGTGGGAACCAGATCGGCAACAGTACGCTGTGGCGTACATTGTCTTTGCATCGGTAGCAGGATCAGTCGTGGCACCCATTATCGGAGGCTTCGTAACGACTTTTCTGAGCTGGCATTGGAACTTCTGGCTCCAACTCATCCTGGGTGGCTTCGTCCAAGCCGTGCACTTTTGGGTGCCGGAAACGCGCTGCAGCATTCTCGTGACGAGAGAAGCTAGAAAGAGACGCAAGCAGGGAGAGGAGGTGTACAGTGGTGACGAGCTCAAAGGCAAACGGGTTGACATCAAGTACTTTGCGACTCTCTGGGCTCGTCCGTTTGTCATGTTCGTTCGGGAGCCCATTGTGCTGTGGCTTTCCCTTCTCAGTGGCTTCAGTGACGCCTTGATCTTCACTTTCCTGCAATCCTACGAACCTGTCTACAAGCAGTGGAATTTCAATACCATCACGATTGGATTGGCCTTCATTCCGTAAGTCTCGCTCGACGATAACCGCGGAGTAAGTGCTTGCTGATTATATAAAGGATCATGGTCGGATACATTCTGGCTTGGTTCTCCTTTCTGCCCTGGATACATCGCCACTGCCGTGTGCTTGAACGAGATCCCGACGCGCTCCAGCCCGAAGCCCGTCTATACTGGCTGCTATGGGGTAGGTCTCTCACTTCTGCTTCCCTGTCAAGCTCACAATAGGATTAGTTGCTCCACTCTTGACGATTGGACTTTTTGGCTTCGCATGGACCAGTCTAGGTCCGAAGCACCACGTCCACTGGATAGCGCCGATGATATTCTCCAGCTGCATTGCGATAGCGAATGTAAGATTCTCATCAGGACCGCGAACCTGTCTAACTCAAGAGACAGTATTCCATATATATGGCCACGATCGACTACATGATTGCCTCCTACGGACCATACTCCGCCTCAGCAACCGGCGGCAATGCCCTAGCACGAGACTTTCTGGCAGGCATCGCAGCCATGTATTCCGTTCCAAGTAAGACCAGCACCACTTTAAAAAATATCCAGGTGCTGTGCTAATAATTGTCAGTGTACAAATACATGAGCAAATCACTCCCCCTCGAATGGCCTTCCACCCTCCTCGGCTTCCTATCCATCATCTTCATCACCCCGATCTACATCTTTTATTGGAACGGACCCAAGATCCGTGAAAGGTCCAAGTTCGCCCAGATTCTCGCGTCCGACAGGAAAAAGGCCGGACGCCGGGTCTCACAGTGCGGTTCTGGCGACGCCGGTCCCGAAGAGTACTACTTTGATCCATGAGACTGGTCCGTTTAGTAGTTTGGAATTAGAGCTCGCCGTAGTTTGACGCTCGGAAGTTCATTTCATGTGATTTGTTATATGACAGCTGAAGGGAGTATTCCAGTAAGAATTCCGGTAAGCGAGATTGGCGAATTGGTGTCAATGGGACTGACAAGCTTGCGCATTTGGATGTTTGATCTTTGCATTTCATGTTCTTGTCTATTCGATTACACTGCATGATATTTGCATCGGCTTGGCGAATTGGTGACACTAACTCTGATAATCGGAGCGAATTTGTTTTCTAGGCACCTGGCACGGCCATCAATCGAGATTTCGACTTTTCTTTTTCTGGTCGAGCCTGACGCTATTCTGATGCGTCACATAGACTCGGGGTTGATTTCCGAGGTCCGAAACGATGGACTGCTGGTCGTAAACCCGGGATGAACTTCCGGTACTCGGGAGTTTTGATGATATCACCCATTGTACTCCATGTATTGCAGGACACGCAGACTCAATTAGGATTAAGAGGATGAACACGATAGTGATGCCGTCTGGTATACGTTGTGTCGGCTACGGTAGGGGTATAGTGTAACGATGGTTCCAATCCGGGTCGTTATGGTGGGAGCGCCTATTTTGGACAATATCCGCATCTTTATCAGTTCTTGAGGCAGACTTATGGCCGTGTTTGAATAGCGCGGCAGGCTTCTGCAGCCCTGATTAATTGAGTCTCCTCTGAGATTGTGTAAGGCTTCCTAGAACGTCAATGACGTAGTGCCCGCCAAGTAACCGTGTTTGACTTCGGTGGTTGCAGGAATGCGGAGTCACTCTTTCCGTCAAGCCTTTCATGTTGTGGATTTCTATGATACCGATGGCAAGTTCAGCTTTGCAGCATCGATGTATCATTGATCCCACAGATTCTGGAGCTTCTGAATTTGCGAACCAGTCGCCCATCCCAGATCAGCTTCGATGCCGCGTAGCAGGTCTCCGACAATCTGGCGTTCCTCAGGGTTCTCGAGGCACTGCCCCACGGCAAAGAGCAGGGGTATCATGTAGATACGGACACCACCCTGCGGTCTGCCGAGAGCGATGCCGCAAATCTCCTTGCAGCGGTAGTCAACCTCTTTCGTCAACTCACGATAGCCCTGTAGCCGGTCAAAGGCGGTGCTCGGCGCGCTGATCACGTCCGGCGGGCGGTTGAGCAACAATGCAAGGCGCCCAAACTGATACTGCTGCATCGCAGCGGCGCAGGATGTCATGCCGTAGAAGATCTCGGGGAACGGCATCTCGCCGATCTCAGGCAGCTTGGACAGATCCTTGGGGTGATTGAGACGCAGGCAGGGGCGAAACGTCTCTGGGATCTTCTCGACCCACGTTTGGAACTCGAAGCAGAGTCTCAACCAGGCGGATGTCGTCGGCTGGGAACGTGGAGATGAGACGGTTGGAGAAGGTGAATTGGTTGGTGGCTGACCAACCCACTGCTCCACCTGGGACCTTTTCGAAGCCGCCAAGAAGTTGAGAACCTTGTTCAGAAGCCAGATCAGACTGTTTGCTGCCAAGTCCTCCCGTTGAAGCATCATTGGGTTCCGAGTCAGTCCACTGTCTAACCGGAGGTTTCCTAGTTCGTCAATGGGGACGCCGGCAGCTCTCCATAGTGTGAGGCTGTCCGGATCGAAGTGTGTCAAAGATCGAGTAAAATATGCGCCTAGATAGTCAAAGCGAGCAAAGTCAAAAAAGCAGGCCGCAATCCCATGTGAAAACTGCGAGGGCTCTGCATAATTGCTGTATATTTGTAACAAACAGTCAAAAGCAGATTTGGCGCCGTTGAGATGACTGTTCAGAGGGGTTAGCGAAGCACACGACGGCAGGCGGATTTAAGAATGTAACATACGATTGCCACATTTCTCCAGCTTCATCCAAGAGCTTGTACGTTGTGAGTATGACCGCCGCGGCGAGTAAGTCTTCCACTTTTCTCCAAAAGGTCCCTATGACTGGTTGCTCTGTAGGAGGCCCATGACCAGTTTGCTGTACTTGGAGGTTCAGCCATCGACTCACGGTCTCCACTGGCGACTCCAGGACGGCTGTGCTGGAGACAGCTGAATAGGCATCGGAGACCGACGTGTTGATGTGAGAAGCGGCAAGATAGTAGTAGTTAGCAGCTTTTAAAAACCAATCCACCTGAGTGGAATTCGGGTACACCTCCATTGTCGGCGGACTGGTAAACAGTCCTCCGCCGACCGGAGATATTACGCCTTTTACTCGGCCCAGATGCTTTGCCGCCAGAGCTGCGATTGCATACTTGAGACAAGGATCGTCAATCGCGCGAACTGGAACGTATGCTGAAAAGAACTTTCCAGAGTCCGAGATGTCTAGCCTGTGATGGATGAGCACAAAAGGTAGCTGCCAGAGAGAGCCTTTACGAACCAAGGTCCCAGAGTTGCCGAGAAGTGCCTCGTAAGAAATGCAAGCTCGTGCTCAGTACCAGTCATTAGCTCCGAGAATATATCCTGAAACTCCTCTTCCTCACCACGCTGCGAGGGACTTTTCGGAGAGTTCAAGTGCGTAGCAGCAGTGGATTTCTTGAGCTCGCCGGAGACATTATGTGGCACGCCGAAACCTCCTGCCGCGGTCTTGTTTGGCGAAAATGAGCTCTGTGCGTTGCTTTGACTGGAAGCACTCTGTTGGTCCGAACCTGCAATTTCGGTTGGCCCAGCCTGTACTGCGAACATGCCGTCTGTTTGCACGGGTGGGTCTTGCATGGTTGACACTAGCTCATTTGGAGTTGGACGGACCGCTAACTGAGTCGCCTCGGCAGTTCCCAAGGCCAAGTTGGTGTGAGACAGACCTTGGTCAGCAGTACTATGCATCACATTTTGCTCAAAGTCTGTTGAGTGATTACCAGGTACCTGTCTTGGTATGAGACGTAATCATAAGCAAGCATAAGGGAAGTGTGCAGGACTTACGCCCTCCTTCGGTTTGGCTGCATGTGGCTTTGGATGAGTTTCACTGTAAGGTGCATATCGACGCCTTACAGAAGCACCTTGGTCTATGAACTTGCGAGTTTGGACATAACCAGGGCATTCCACGCCAGCGTTAGTACAACGCTGACAGCTCGGCCGTGTTTCGTCGCACTAGAAAGGTCAGAAAATGCGTCCAATTGTCCAATTGAGCTCCTGAAACATACCTTGAGATGTCTCTTTTTACAACGCTCGCAAGCTTTGTTCGATGGTACCCCTGGCATTGTCGATCTTTGCTATGCGGCATTCAATATGTTTCTTGGACTGCTAACCGCGACTGAGGGTCTCATCTCAATTCACGGCGATGAAGATGATGAGGAGTTCTAGATCATGGATCAAGAAAGTGCGTGCTCGGCGAAAAAGTAAGGAAAGCTTAAACCGTCAAGGGATCTCGAATTCTTGATGGATCATGGACTGGGGCAAGTCTGTGACGTGCGTCGGCGCTCGTTCGGATAAAAGTCGGCAAGTCGTTCGGCATCCTCTCACCGCCCGGCAGTATCCGCTGTCTTTCTGTTTTTAAAGCAGGGCATTTCTGTAGATTGACTCTTATATAAGAATTTCTTTTTAAAGAGAAGAGCGACATGCTGAGAAGGCTGGCTAGCCATAACGACCCTAGGCAAGGTCATGCAGGCCTTGACAAGTCGCCGTGCGAGAAGGTTGCAGCAGATCAGGAGGCATTGTTGCGACTGCTGGGCCATCCGGTGCCCCCAAAGGTCGATTCTTATGTGTTCACAGATGATGAAAAGAGCCGTATTTACACGGACTGGATCAGTTAGTTTGACTTTCCAGCTTACCGACTTATAGGATCACTAACATATACGTGTGATTGTAGAAGGAGGGAAACCTCACAACTTGGTCTGCTCAGAGTGTCGAAGTCCAGATGATTTGATGCTATGCGAGACTTGTTGTAGGTCGTATCATGCAAGATGTCTGCCAGATCCTGTTACATCTACATCTACAGGCAATTTTTATTGTCCTTCTTGCAGAGATAAGCGATGGGATCAGACGCCGCCTCAAATCAACTCATTGGCAGCTTCACCGGGTGTCTCTCGGAGCAGCACACCTGTTCCACTTCCAGCTATAATGCATAGTCACACAGGTCCAGCGGATGCCCTGACCACACAGTCAAACCTGCAAGGTCCGTCTGTCTATTCTTCGCCGGTTGATAGTCAGCAGCAGCGCGCCCAGAATGTGCTCACTATGGCATCAAACTCTGACATCATGTCTCGAGCTCGACAGTTTCTAATTCAGCATGGGAAGTTTCCTACATCTCAAGATTTTCATCCCGAGCTCTTGTCGAATTTGGGGACAATGATGTTGGAGCTCGAGTCCCAACAATTGCTGCTCCAGGAAATTCAGGACTTGCGGGAGGAAAATGCCAGCTTGAGAAGAGAGGCCTTGAAAACCAAGCATCACTATCCCTCTCGAATGCCAATAAATGAATCTGTCCTCAACTCCCCTTCTCATCTGGCGCCAAGGATCCAGACTCCGTCTCCTGACACGGCTGGAAAGTCATGGGACAGAATTGTCATGGATTTGATTTGATCTGTTGGCACCTTACTCACGAAGCCATATTTTATCATTGCTTGCAGCCGATAGGCTTTGTGCGCCATCGGGAGCTGTGCTAGGTCGCATCGGCAGAGTATGCATGAACGTTGATGGGAAGTGGAATGGAACTGTCCGTTGCAGAAGGATGCTCATCTGCAGACCTACATACATCCACCGTTTCTGCTCGACAAGTTTTTGAGTATACAGCGAGGAGACATTTGGCAGTGCCCTGAACAGTCAGTGCATGCCGGGACAGACTGTGATTACCACAGCCACAAGTGCTACAATTAATTGATGCCAAACCGTCTGTCGACAGTTCTGACTTTACGCTCAGGTCTGTTTGTCCAGTGCACCTACGACCTGTTGATCCCCGTCGGTGTCCTCGTCCAAGATTAAAGGACTCACTCGTGAAGGAAAGGGATCAATCTCGGCCAAAGTGACACTGAAGACATATCAGTTGCGGTACTGTCGGCATCTATCCGTCTTTAAGATAGCTGGGTTGCGCATTCGGTAGGTCAAGTGGTTGCCTGCTTGCCCTATCATTCAATGCGGGGGTTTAATTTCGCATCGGGGGAGCAAACAGGTTCTGGACAGGCTTCGGTTGGTCTATTGAGATCATTTCTCCGCATTGCAGCTACTAGTGACTACTAGTTTGACTATTTATGCGACTGCATCTTGCCGAAACCCCCTTTGGGAAGTCATCCCTGCAAATCCCGGCGGCCGGAGCCACTCCGCTGCATGCTTTCTAGCATTAATATGAGGGGTGCATCTGGACCAGGTGATGATCTCAATGTGATTGCTACCTTATAAGGTTACTACAATGTGACTTGAAAATGAGGGTTTTGACACGGGGAAGGGATTTAAACGTTCCTTCCCAGCCACCAGCCCCTGGAATGCTTGAATCCTTTGGCCTACACGCGCGCCGCACACCGAATCAGGGGTGCTTTATTTTCTTCACGGACTACGCAAAGGATGTCGTCTTGTTGATTACATTTTGAAAGCTAAACATTTCAAAATGGTAGCTTGCTGGTCGAAAGGAGTTCCACTGGCCGTGCTAAGTGCACTTGTTGCCTCTACATTCGTGGATGGTCACCAGACGAGAGATTCGAACTTCGACGTGTTGGACTATGTTGATCCGTTCATCGGCACGTCAAATGGCGGCCATTCATTTGCCGGAGCTACTCTGCCCTTTGGCATGGCCAAAGCAGTAGCAGACACGCAAGGCGAGAATCAAGCTGGCTTCGCATATGATACCAAGGTCGTGACTGGCTTCAGTCATATGCACGACAGCGGAACTGGTGGATCACCATCCTTGGGCAATTTCCCCCTCTTTGCTCATGCGAGCTGTCCGGGGGATGACCTCAATCAATGCAAGTGGCAGCAGCCTGATCGGGCGGTTGCGTGGGTGCCAAACTCCCCCAAGGCTCGACCAGGCTATTTCAGCATCGCTTTGGAGAATGGCGTAAATGCGGAGATGACGGTGACAAACCGGTCGGCTCTGTATCGGTTCAAATTCAGCGGCGCCTCCGAATCACTCAGCCCGGTGATTCTAGTCGACTTGATAGATCTGCCCCTGTCCCGCACGAACGGAACCGCCTCGGTGGACCCATCGACAGGGCGATTGACGGGTAACGGCACTTTCAATCCGAGTTTTGGGATAGGCAGCTACGATCTTCACTTCTGCGCTGATTTCAAAGGCGCCGAACTCCGCGACACGGGCGTGTGGATGAAGACCCGGGCAGGTACGAACCAAACGACAGTCTCGGTGACTCCGGATGGGACAAACACCGCGTCGACTCTTTCTGCCGGGACTTTTGCCCGATTCCATGCTCCGGCGGACAATACACTGCTGGCCAGGGTCGGGGTGAGCTTCATCAGCGTCCAACAAGCATGTTCCAACGCGGAGAGAGAGCAGCCGGACTTTGACTTTGACGGCACGGTATCTACGGCCGAGAAAGCATGGAGAGAAAAGCTGGGGGTGATTGAGGTTGATGCAGAGGGTGTCTCTGCTGATCTGCAGAAAGTGTTTTGGAGCGGGGTGTACCGTGCCATGATCAGCCCCCAGGACTACACGGGGGAGAATCCGCTGTGGGAGAGTGAGGAGCCGTACTATGACAGCTACTATTGCATCTGGGACTCATACCGCGGGGTGCATCAGTTGCTGACACTGCTAGACCCTCTGGCGCAGTCACGGATGATCCGAAGTCTGGTAGACATTTACCGCCACGAGGGATATCTCCCTGACTGCCGCATGTCGCTGTGCAAGGGATTCACCCAGGGAGGCTCCAACGCCGACGTGCTCATCGCCGACGCATACCTGAAGAACATCAGCGATGTGGACTGGGCTACCGCCTACGAAGCCGTGGTCAAGGACGCGGAAGTAGAACCATCCAACTGGAATGTAGAAGGCCGGGGAGGCCTCCAGAGCTGGAAGACTCTCGGGTATATTCCGACCGACGACTATGATCCGTACGGAATTGGCACGCATACGCGCAGTATCTCGCGGACGGTGGAGTACGCTTACAACGACTTTTGCATTGCGGAGCTGGCGAAGCGGCTGGGCCACGACGCCGACTATGAGAAGTACATTCAACGCTCGTCGAACTGGCAGAACATGTTCAAGGCTGATCAGAGGTCGTACATCAACGGGGTGGACACAGGCTTCGCCGGGTTCCTGCAGCCGCGCTACCTGAACGGAACATGGGGATTTCAGGATCCGATCTTCTGCAGTCCGCTGTACAACTTTACCTCGTGCTACCTCAATCCCGCTGGACACGAGACCTACGAGGGGAGCTGCTGGCTCTACACATTGTGAGTTTCCGTCATCCATTTGTGAAACAGAAGCTGACCCGCTGCCCTTCAGCTACGTGCCGCAAGATATGGCCGCTCTCGTCACCCGTCTCGGCGGCCCGGAGACCTTCACATCGCGACTATCCTATCTGCATGACTCTGGTATCCTCTACGTGGGAGACGAACAGGCTTTCTTGACAGCTTTCCAATTCCACTATTCCGGCCGGCCTGGGCTCTCCGGCGCCCGAGCGCACTTCTACATCCCGTCGCAGTTCAACGCAACCGCCCCAGGAATCCCAGGGAACGACGACGGCGGCGCCATGGGCGCATTCGCCGCGCTGAGCATGATGGGTCTCTTCCCGGTTCACGGGCAGGACGTCTACCTGATCACTCCACCATTCTTCAAGGAGATCAGCGTCCGCAACCGGGTGACGGGCAAGGTGGCAACCGTGCGAAACACCAATTTCGACCCCAGCTACAAGGCGATATACATCCAGAGCGCAAAACGCGACGGGAAGCCGTGGACGAAGAACTGGATCTCGCATGACTTCTTTCTTGACGGGGGCGTTCTGGAGCTTGAGCTGGGCGCGAGCGAGAGTGCATGGGGGACGGGGGTGGAGGATTTACCTCCGAGCATGAGCGGCTACGGGATGTAGGCAGGCAGTGCAGCTAACCAATGCATTAAACTGGGTATATAACATTTACATTCGTATCCAATTCATAAGCCACGACCCGCGTGGTTATTGTTTCAGTCTACCACTCCAGCCGATCATCACGCACCAGCTGCACATCGTACCGCTCCTCACCCTTCCACACCCGCGCAGGATCATTGCACGACGCAATCGCCCTCCGCAGATCGGATACTAGCCCTGTCGGACCACTGGCAAGAACGCGAGTCGGGCCCTGCACCGTCCTCGACACGAAATCAGTAACATGCGAACCCACATCGGGGTGTCGATCCGTCCCCGCAAAGCCAGAGGCGGAGCCAGAGCCAGAGCCGGAGTTGGAACCCATGTAGTGTATCGTAAACGGCGCCTCCCCATCCCGCGAGGTTTTTGTTTCAATCCGCTGGATGCCCTCCTTAACCAGCTCCTCCTTCTCCAGTGCCTGAACCTGGGCCTCGGCATCCCCCTCGCGCGTCACAAACACCCTCATCCGGAAATTGGCGCACCCCTCCGCGGCAGAACGCAGCTCGTCCATCTCACTCTTGATCCATTCTATATCGGCCTTGCGGCGGATGACCCAGATGAACTCGAAGAGACCGCTTCGAGATGGAAAATCTGCTTGGCGGGATAGCTGGAGCAGGACAGGTAGGACGAAGGTTACGCCCGTGCCGCCCGCGACGCAGAGGATGTTGACGTCTGTTTGTAGTAGTTCAGTGCTCGGGATGGACTGGCCGTATGGTCCGGCTAGGACAACGGATATTGAGGTCTGGTTTCCGCGCGCGAGCAGACCAAGCTGCCGCGTGAGGCCGCTTTTCGCGCGGATGATGTACGTATGCGTCTGGCTCCTGTCCTTGTCTGTCGGCACGCTGCTGGGGGTCATGGGGTGCGATTGCCAGATACTCAGGTCTGGGAAGCAGAGGTAGAAGTGTTGGCCGATGGCCCAGGGGCGGTGTGAGAGGGTGAAATCCAGCCGGATGACGTCGCTGTCTGTGTCGTTGGGGAAGGGGGTTATCTGTGCTGTCGGGATGTGCATGCGCAGATTTTCAGAGGAGGAGGAAGAGGTGGTGGTGGTATGCAGCAGGATAGTCCGCAGGAGACGCACCGCTCTATCCAACAGCCACACCGTCAACGAGGCGATCATCCAGCATGACAGCATCGCCCAGTGGCCCCAGCAGGCGCCGACGTACAGCATGGCCACGACGTAGTGCGATTTGCGGAAGAATTCGTACCCCGTTAGTCGGATGCACCATTTCGCCGAACAGAAAACCAAGAAGGACAGAAAAATCATGGCGACGACGCCCCAGATCATGTACTCCTGTGCGATGAACTCGTTCCAGGTGGAGGGCTGCGGCTGGTAGAGCTTGCCCTCGACGACGGTCCAGCCGATGGTGTGCAGGACGGATTGAATGTAAATGATATATCCGAGCCAGCGGTGGAGGAAGAGGAAGTGGTGGTGCGGGATGCCGGTCAGCAGCGAGAGCAGGGACTCGCGGGTGGACAGGAGGACGGCCAGCGGGGTGAGGGCGTAGGCCAGGACGCCGAGCCGGTCGGCCCAGGGACCGAGTCCGACGCGGGTCTGCTGCAGGTTGGGATAGCCTTTGACGGGGCTGTACCAGGTTTTGTAGACAATGCCGACGAAGGAGAAGATGGTCAGGTAGGCGGTTAGGATGAGTAGGAGGAGGATGTTGAAGCCGGTTGTGTGGCCGAATACGCGGGGGAGATATCCTCGAAGAAGATGACGGTGGTAGACTGATTTGAGGAATTGTTGACAGCGATATAAGAAGCTCTGAGGCTGAGTCTGTTCCGTCTCTGCATCTTGACCGGAAGTATGTGATGTTCTAGGGACGCGGATGAGCCGTCGCAACGCGCAGAGCAATAAGACACCCAGAATTACACCCCAGAGAATGGCACTGTAGAGAATGGACAGGTCATGCGAATGATACACGGTATCAAGATAGGCGCATTTGCCCCTGTCGCTGGTGCATGGGAGTTGGCGGTTATAGTAGCCCCAGTGATGCTCGACACCAGGGCCGGAATGGGGGATGTCCATACTATGGGCGCGTGAGGAGAGCATCTTGACTGCTGCTGCTGCGGCCAGGTAATTGACATGATAACAGATGAAGCCATTGAGGGAGTCTTATACTCGACTGACACCGAGAGTGAATCTAGATGCGACAAGAGAGTGGGCTGCCAAGGAGGAAATCTGCTCAGAGGCGTTGCCAAGATTTCCGCTTGTGGATATTTCAGTGTCGCTGCAGTTTTGTTTCGGTCGGTTTCAGCCATCTGGCCTCTCCAGAGTCTTCATGGTGTGAATAAACCTGCTCAGAATGGTAGAATTGTTTCACTTATAGACTCAGTGTCATCAGGTACTTCTGTAGATAGATATATATAAAGCATGATCATTGAACAATGAAGATGCCAAGCAATATGAAGATGATAATGTGCTCAAATGGGATCATCTCCACTCACTAGCATCAGCAGTGGGTCTTAGGTTTATAGCTCAAACAACCGAAGAACAAGAGACAGTGTGATAGACTAAATAGACCATAGTTGAATGGACAGTCCTCCCCTGCGCACTCCCAACACTATCGCTGCGGTCAAGACAGCCGTGGAGGTGACTGTAAGCACCAGGTTGCGGAATGCCCTCATGTACCGTGGCTTGAGCACTCGTTCAACATTACCCATAAATTTAGCCGGATCATTGGTGTTGGGGAATGCTTCCATAGGCACATCTTTTTGTAGAAACTACAAGCCATCAGCGTCTTTCCGTCGAGTACATGAACAAGTGGACAACTTGACTTACCTCGCACAATGGCTCCCATCCATCCTCAACACTCCATTCCAGCAGTCGCTGAGGTGCCACCAACCCCCGGATCATGGCACAATACTCGCGATAAACCCACTTCCCGTTCTTCGCAATCGCCGTGCGCATCGACTTGCCGCGAAACAGCCCCGGATAACCATGCGTGACATACAACTCCCACAGCCAGAACAGATCCGCACAAAACAGCCGCATCACCCACAGGAACCAGCGGTCCGAAACCTCCTCCAGCAGAGTCTTGACCGCGCTGCGATGCCACGCATTCCGATCCTTCCTCGTGTTCAAGATCACCAACGCCTCGGGATACGCCTCCACCAGCTCAGCCGCGAAGAACGACGCCGCCGTGTCCACCACCGCATCGCAGTGTCCCAGCAGGGCGTCAAACTCCCCTCGCGACACGCGGAACTCTCCGTCCTCCTTTCCGTTCCATTTCGCCCGCGCCAGTTTCGCCCACCCCTCGATGTACCCCGCGTTCTCTTCGAAGGAGATGTCCCACCCGTGGTACGGGGTTAGACCAAGCCTCCGCAGCGCGACGGCGAGGCTCTCCGTGGCGGAACGTGGGAGGCCCACGCAGATCACCTGCATGGGCTTGGTGCGGGTGCGAGCCGGTGGCTTGGGGAGGTTGTAGAGGGCTTCTTTGAGGATTTCCATTTTGACTGGTTTGGCTGAGAAATGTGCCACAGGCTCGGATGGGTGCTGCTTGGTTGGTTACATAGGGTATTTATATTGCTTTGTCGGAGAATATGGTACGATGGGGGGTAAGCGGGTTGGTGAGTGTAGCTGCATGAGGAGTCAGCATTGATGACGGTGTAACTCTAAACAGTTGGGCTGAGATGAGGCTGGAATCTGTGTCTCGTGTTGCCTGCAGTTCGGACTGCCCGATGGTGGTTGGGCATTGTGGCTGATTGGTGCTCGTATAAGCTGACTGTTCTGGTTCTTTGGCGGTTTGTTTGCTTCCTTCTACATGGGATGGTTATGGCTGAATTCTTATTGATATTCACTATTCATCAAACAAACATTCTCATCTGCATTCACTGGCTCAAGCAAGACAAACAACGGCTCATTCACTCTTTCTGTATATATACCAGCTCATTCCTCCCCTTCCAACTCTTCCACCTTTCCATCTGGAGTAAACCTCTTACAACTCAATCATATTGAAATTGTCTCAGACACTCCACGTTCGCATAAGAAGATAATTACATGGCTGTCAAGAATGAAAAGGTTCTGGGTCCATGCCTGCTGATTGGGAGGCCTTATTCCTGGGCCGGAAGTGAGTCGTTCATAGTCAGCTATTTATGACTGTACTGACTTTTTGCTCCAGTAGCTCTGACGCAGCGACTGAACATGCAGCCCTGGAACTGCGTCGAATACTGTGGCGGGCGGCCATCCGTGGTGAGCAAATGCCTCTAGCAGAAGCCAGTTCAACATCGTGTTATCGCTCGACCATGGTACCGCTGGAAACAAGAAGACACGCAAGGTACGTTGACGGATCATGGTCAGTACGTTTTGAGCTTCTCCACTGACATTAGTAGACCACTCAATACGGCCGATTCCTGGCTCTCGCCGGGCTATGTCTATGGTCATTGCGATTTCTGGAGTTTCGACGTCGGACGCGTGTATTCGCACCAAGACCTAATAAGACCGATAAACCGGCAATAGGATCATTGCTATGAACGCCGGCTCAGTTCGTCTCTATGGCAAAATCAAGGGCCACAGCAAAAACCACAGTCATTCAAAGTTCAGGGACACCAGAATCGTGATTCTCGTCTCAATAAAAGCGGTCACCAAGGAGATCAGGTTTGAGAAATGGCAGCTTGTCCCTCCGAATGTTCCAAGACCTGTCATGAGGCAAGCAATCCATCAGCTAAGCCAGCAGCCCAAAAGATGTAGCATCTGCAATCGAATTCTCCGACCAACTTTTCCGTCGGAGAGTTATTACCACCTTTGTTGGCCAATTCGATAGGTTTTCACTTACTCGCATCACCATGGCTTACCAACCAAGTAGGCAGGACAAGCATGTTCAACTGAGCCTCAACCTGCCGGACGAATGCACCGACTTCAATGAGCAGGCACCCAGGCTCCATGTCCGGGCATCGGCATGGAACAGAGACCACATAGGGACGCTTAGGTCGTGCCCTTGATGAGTGTCCAATATCCAAGATATACGAAGCCAAACCTACCCCAGACAAACGACCCAGGTTTTCCTTTGTCGAATACAACATCTCCGGTACTCTACATCTCTGATACCGAAGACCACAGGAATGAGCAAGCTGTGCGCGGCAATATGCGTGGACAGGGGGAGGTTTCTTCGAATTTGATTCTCCACTGGGAACAGATATGATGGATCAGATTCAGAAGGATCAAGGGCTGGGACTCATGGATGCTAGCAGTTACGAATGACATCGCACAATCGGCAGTTGGTTGGGTTGAGTCCAGTACGCAACAAAGCTATCAGAATGACAAAAACCCAGTGAATCAAGCGCACTCGGACCCTGGGCAGCGGGTACAGCTCTCCAAGTGAAGTTGAAATCTGCCTCGACAAACATGCCACCACGCAGATACGGTCTGAGTAAGTCGCCATTGTCAGATGAGAACTCCCATGCATGGCTTGTTCCTTTGAAGTGGGAGTCCAGCACATCAAGGTCATGAGGAACCCTTGGATCCTGTCCGGCCTCTCGACTGGTCCACACAGAACGGAAAAGAGGTAAAGAAGCAGATAAAATCGCCCAGCAATCGAGATGAGGTGTTCTTCAAGTTCGCGGCGAAGAGAGTTCGCCCTGTGCGCAATGTGAAGACGGCCGAACTACGTTCCAGAACTGTATCTCATCTCCCGAATTCACCGATGATCAAAACAAATTGCGAGCGCTATACGCCGGCGCGTGTGCGAACTGCGTCTGGCACGGGAAAGGGTCGCAGTGCAGTTTCTGTTTTCTGTGAGTCCAATTCTATGTCTACTCTCCTTCTACAATCAACTCTAATCTGTGTCTAGTAATCCTGTTTCTCTTTTCTTTCTTCTCCCAAGTACCGTTTCCAGGTTCCCTTGATGCCTCGAGTGACAATTCACCTTTACAGTGTCTGTCTTTGAAAATCATAGCATTTTTGAACAAGATACAAGTCTACGAGTCGTGCGTACATACGTTGAGCTGGCCTCAATAATAAATATTTCAATCGATGAATGCATGTCCAACATTCCACGAACGAGCAGATTAAGAGGCTTTCTGAAAGAATACGCGAGCGAGAAGAAATGGGCGGCGGATCTGCGACAAAGCTTCGAGACCGGGTAAAATGACTTCCAGTCAATAGTCTCTGGCTACCGTCGCGAACGCAGAATGTCACTATCATGCCCCGGGTGACGGCCACCTCCGGGAAGGCTATACTGGGCAAGAGAATCATTGACTGGGCGTTTGGCCAGATGAACGATGCCGCCATCGAGAAGTTCTCCCGACCCAACCGCATATTCCCTGTTCGGGACGGCCAGCAACCAGGCCGATACAAAGCTGGGGAAAGCCGTGCGCCGTCTGTGGGCGAGCCTCTAACAGACTTTGGCCCGCTCGAGGTATAGGCCAGCTCCACTAGAGGAACCTGCTCCTATCCCTGCTGCGCCTGCGCCTGCGCCTCTGATTGGAGTTGGACTATCCTCGAACGCACTGCTCAAGTTTGTTGCATCCTCCTCGTCATAGACAGGAATCATCCAACTCGCGATCGGCATCAAGACTGAAGTTGACCATAAACCTCGGGGGTTTGGACGGGGAGTCTACTCCAAGGCCCAACAAGGATCAATCCATTGGAATATGGAACACCGTCTCGGAGCTTGCTGTTGGCAGGTCTGATGCGGAGGATAAGGCAAAGTAATACCAAACGGATCCACCAAAGCCAACAAGGAATTCAAACTGATCCTGACCACACTGGGTTTATCCGCCAAACCGTTGATTTCAGATGGTTTCGTCACACGATTATCGAACTGCCTCCGGACGAAAGGATAGATGTGCCGTGCCCCATCCCAGAGCGATACCTTGATAACATCAGACCGATGGGTTCCACGGTTTCCAGTGAACTGGATAGGATCCGAGCCGCAGCACAGCGGCACGCGCCTAAAGCCATGGCAGGTGACTGGAGGAGCAGACTTTAGCACACGGCAATGTAAAAGGCAATTCCTTGTGTCGCAGATGAGACTGATGTTTATATCTCGGTCTTTCAGTACGACCAGGATGGTTACGCTATCTCAATGGAGGTCCGGGGAGCGAGACGTGCCCCCTCCCGTGCCGCGCTCTCCGACACCCCCCTTTCGTCTCTGCGCCTGCACCTCCGGGCTTTTTACTGGGTGAGTAGGGTTTGCGTTCTCTTGGTTATACCAGTATAGGGCCAACTGTATTGTATAGAGTGTAGATGAGCTCCTCGCGATAATGTCTACTGTTGCCTAGCGATGAGAGAGGATGACCCTGAAGGGTGAGCGAGACAACAGTCTAGATGGAGGGCCACCCAGTCTGCGGGGCACCCTGGCAGATGCATGCGGTACGGGCAAGGCGACGACCCTAATCACAACGCTCTGGTATGCGTCTCTCGCCGCGGGGAGAAATTCCTCCTACACACATCGTCCGACGTTGGTCCTGTGCCGAACGCGCTGATAGACACCTGGCTAGCCGAACTCCAGGCCCGTCTTGGTGACGCGTTTAGCGTTCTCCTGTTCCAGGGCAATTCCCTGCACACTTCTGACTACCTCCGGAAATCACTGATCGTCGACACCCTGACCGATCTGAAGGCCCAGGAGGAGGATAGGGTGTTCCACCCCTCTTCGCGCCATCGATGCGTCTTTTCCCATCAGGCGAAGCTGTGATGGGTATTCTCAAGGCAGAGGATATTCCAATAGTGGCCACCAAGGACTCCATGCAGGGCAAGGAGTCGAAGCTTGTCATCTATGATTTGGTCATCTCAGCGCCGACAAGATGTCAGATCTTGGGTTCACGGTGGATGACCACCGCGGGAATGTGGACTCGCTCGGGTCATGCTGAACAGTTGTTTTCGTGGCTGAATGGCCAGGTTAACTTTCGACAGGCGTACCCCTTTAGCTGGAGTGATATTATCGCGCTTTTAGCTGATATCGCCAGCAACCCCGGTGCATACGGAGTCCCCCCTGAGAATGCCGCCAACCTGGTGTTGATACACCAGGATATCACTCGCCTTCGGTAAGCTACTAGTATCTATCAAAGCAAGCATATTCATATATAGCTAACTTTGAGAAAAGCCGCCCAGATGGCGCTGACTACCCCGTCCCACCGCCACCGCAAAACATCGACCGTAAGCGTCATCCTAACTGGTCCTCTGCCCTGTCGCGAGGACCCCAGACAACTACATCCGGTTCATCGTACCTGATATGGAATTCGAACGACACATCTTCACCCGACAAGGGAATCGCCGGCAACTCAAGGCAGCGTCAGCAGAAAAGAGGAATTTTGACCTCCGATTATCTGCTCTTTATGGACAGTGGTGTGCAAAGCAGGACAGGCCTAATTGACCGAGAGCGTTCCAGTGCAGCTGACCGGACGTTTACCTCCATCTCACAGCCGGTTCAATGGCCCGTTCTATCGCCCCCGCCTTACAAGTAACCTTCCGGGTATTGCAGCACTCTATGAAGAGAAAAACAGGCCCGATGATTTTGTGTGGACTGGAGAACAAAATAGCGATGAGTGCTGCAGGGTTGATCCCCTATCCTACCAGGGTAGCTTTCCGAACTTCGATGCGTAACGAAAGCTCTACTTGGACCTCGAGGAGTCATCTTCCAGCGGGATGCGAACGGTGATCTCATGATCCCTGAGGAGTACATTGCATCAAACATTGAGAACTGGAGGAGCCGTCTTTCAAAATTTGACAACCCTGAGTTCTATAACTACAAGGGATCTGTTTACTTGATGGAATTCGTGATGAGGCTGTAAGACTCAGATCCCACAGCGCGGCGTTGCCACGCGAAAAGAGGTACACTTTCAGTGCAGCCTGTGAACGCATCATGAATAATTGCCGCCAATGGCCAATACATCCAACTCTGTTCCCGTAACGGTTCTAAGAGTCAAGAGAGATATTCTTTCGATAAATGGACCAGGATTCCTATCGAGTCCGAAATCGGAAGTCTTGTCGCCATCAGTCACGATTGCGACAAGGAAATCGAAGAGAAGTCTGTTCATATTAACCACAATCCAGTCCCCCAGCTGTTCAGAGTAACAATGCCCATATGGGCCGGACACGTCAGATGGCATTCCCTTACCTTATCGCAGATGTTGTACGTACGTACTTACACTCTTTAACTTCTTGCATGTCTAACCAAGTGTAGGATATGATTCATTTGCACCCCCATACACACTCTCCTTCAAAGAACCTGACTTTTATATCGAGCCACATGGATGCACATTGCCCACGATTGTATTTGAAATTGGCCATTCTGAATCATACCCTCGTCTCATCACCCAGCTAAAGCGCCGCATCCACGAAGCCAATACCATTGCTCTGTTCGCTGCCTTCGGTCTACCTCATAATGCGAACATGACTCATCTTGCTGCCCTCGATCTGATCTCTTGGAGACCTTCCATGATGGCCTTGTTGTTCTCCGTGAGGAAGCACTCCCAGACCGCCACCTCCTGAACGCCGGTTTCCTTGCAGATCTTCAGCTGATTTGGGAGGCTTCCTTGGCCCTGCTTGAGGCTGAAGGCTCGGTGGTCCCAGCTAACTAATCGCAGTTCTCTTGTATCGTCGTGGGCTCGAATACCGCGAGGCCTGACAATCTTCCGAAGTCTGCGTCCAAGAATAGTCGTTCCCAATTGGACACTCCTGTGAAGCAAACCGTTCCCGCCATCGCCGTTTCCAGTGAGACTTCCCCTCGCCTCCGTTCCGGAAAGAGTTATAAGTCCTGTAAGAACGGTGCAGGGCCTTTCCGTCGATGCGTGTCCGCTCCCGAGTACACCGTGGATCGTCAGGATCGAGCCTTCTTCGCCGGAGCCTGTGCAAACTGTGTCTGGAATAATAAGGCCGCTTCTTGTTCTTACTATATTGACAAGAATCGAGGATGGGATCCGCGTTGGGAACTGGAGCTGTTGCAATCGACGCTGACCCTCAGATTGGTGATGAAGAGAGCGGTGTAAATTTGTCCAAAGAGAGTGAGGAGGGAGATGAGGCCGCAGAAAATGGGGATGCCTCTGCACCTGTCCAAACGCACACAGGATTTCATTATTACAGTATAGGGTGTTCATCTAGCTACATATCAAAGATTATCTTAGTGGTGCAACCTAGAGAAGGGTAGTAGACCCTTCCAAAGAGATTGATACATTTACGTGGATGACAAGTGAATAGCTTGCAGACCCTGACATTAGCATAGGGAATAGGCTTGATGCCGCTAGCTGTAAGAATCATTTACTCAGGCAAGGCTGGCATAATAGAGGAATGGCCACTTGCAAGCACTAACGGCATCCGTGTCAGAAACCGGAACGAAGGTGTAGGTACAACTATAGGATAACGTCCAGGCATGGACTAGATTCTCTAGTGGCGACAGAAAGACCAATCTGTAGCTCGAATTACTCAGTGCTTCATCAGCTCTAGACAATTTCAGAATGAGACATGTAGGAACATTTCCACTTCCTCAAGCCTAGGCTAGGAGCTACATCGGCAGTTCCATCTGCCGATAGGAATACACCCAAACTTTAAACCTGCCTCAAGGCTGTTGCTCAGGACATCGGAAATGCAACTCGGTTGATGGACCAGTGACATCAACGACTAGCCAGTAGCTTATCGACCCCGATCCCTCACACCAAGGACAGTTAAACTCATTTTGGAAGGAACCGGCCGTGCTTGCGTCGGGAGGTTGGGCGGTTAGGGCTCCAGGCCGCTGACGCCGGGTTCGAGCTCGGTTGTCAACTGTCAGGATTCCCGACAGCGGGCATAATCCATGGTTGTTTAGGGTAGAAGATGTCATAGCCAATCCAGGCGCTGGAGATAAGAAATGGTTGGCTGGGGACGGTGGTCCCTCATCCTGATGGATGGCCTGGGGAAGTGGAGTTCCCGATGGGGAAATCTGGGGTTACTGTGGAGCTAGCTCCCTGCGTTTTTCTCCAGGCGTGTTAATTCCCCGCTTTCAACCTGTTGATTCGAGTCCGTGGATTTCGACAGTCTAAAACTCAAACCCAATGGAAGGCCACGTCGATATATAGGCAGACCTCGGTCGCGTACAGTATAAACATCGCGTTCGGTAACCGTGCAGTACTGACTGCCGGGGGAATTCCGCATTGTGGAAGACATATCTCTTCGTCGATGTTATAAGGGGATCGGACCCTACGGTGCCAGTCTAGCACTCAACTACGCGCTACTGCGGATGAAGAGTGAAATTGCTCAAGATGGAGATGAATCATGATGAGACTGTAAGTAACCAGCAACTGGCTCGCAAAAAGCAAGCAGCGCTGATATGAAGCATACAGACGATCCATCAGTATGTTAGAAGCCTCACTTGGTGGAAAAAACCTCTGACACACGAGCAGGATCGAGCAGCAGCTCAATACCAAGATCTATCCCGGAACGGAGATCATGGCAGATGTGGGCTCCGTCCACTTTGTCAAATCCTCCGACCGAGTGCTGGTGCCACAGCCCTCCCAAAACCCTCATGATCCTTTGGTATATGGCCCATCCGCATGACTCGGTGAGACGAACGCTGACGCCCGCAGAATTGGAACAGATTCTGGAAGATGAGCGCCATCTGCATGTCCACGGCAGTGTCGTTCAGTCAGGGTCTGGGACCATTGGCACTCGCGCCCATGTTTCCACAATTGATGCAGTCATTCGATGCCGATCTGGCTGCCGTGGTCAAATTCACCGGCGTTTGCATTCTCGTTCTTGGTTTCAGTAATTTCTTCTGGTGCGTCCTCAAGAGTCTCGAAACCGACGCGTGGCTGACGAGTTGAAGGGTTCCCGTCCAGGCAGCCTTCGGTCGACGGCCGGTCCTGATCTTTTCCGTCCTCATCTGTCTGGTCAGTAACATCTGGCGAGCGCTTGCTACTTCCTATGGAAGTTACATGGGAGCATGCATCCTGAACGGTTTCGGAGCGGGGCCTGCCGAGGTAGGGACACTCGAAATGACACAAGACTTCATGTTAATCAGGGATGATAGTCAGCCCAACCCGAAATCATTGCCGACGTCGTGTTCCTCCACGAGCGAGGAGCATACAACACCCTATACTTCACCGCCTATTTTGGCTCTCTGATGGTAGGAATCGTGAACAAGGCAATAATGACTTGAACTGACTTCTCACCATAGGTCGGTCCCGTCATCTCCGGTCCCATGGCAGAACACATTGGTTGGCGCAGCTTCTTCTGGCTCAACACCGGCGTCCTCGGCATCGTCCTCGTAGCCCTCGTCTTCCTGTTCCCCGAAACCAAATGGCACCGCGCCCATCCATCCGAGATACAGCATGGCCAAGAACAGGTGATGACTCCCTCGTCGGCCTCTGAGCCGGAGAAGCCGGTGGAGGTCACCCTGCAGCAGGAAAACGTTGCATCTGAGAGCGGAGCAGATCAAGACCCTTGGCTGGGGAAGGGCTATCCCTCCAAACAGCAGTTCATGCTCTGGCAGCCGTCAGACAACTATCTCAAGACATTGTGGACCTGCTTCTGGATTCCGTGGAAACTGCTTGCGTTCCCCATAGTCGAACTTGCTGCGTTCACCGTCTCGTGGTCCGCCAGTTGCTTTTTGACCTTGAATCTCACCCAGAGTCAAGCCTTTGCCGCTCCTCCATACAACTTCAACAGCCAGACCATCGGGTTCTTCAACTTTGCCATTATCGTCGGGGCTGCCATAGGCTTGGCTACCAACGGGCCTTTGTCTGACTGGATTTCGATGAGAGCCACAAAGAAAAACAGAGGTATTCGAGAGCCGGAGATGAGATTGCCAGCCATGATACCCTATGTGATCATCATGATAATTGGCAATTTCGTCGTGGCGTTTGGCTACGAACACAAATGGGATTGGAGGGTCAGTTCACAGCATTGCGTTGAAAGCGACTCAAGCTAACTGCCTTGTAGATTATTGTGATAATCGGCTACACTTGCGCTGGCATTCAGGTCTGCGCTCTTCCAGCCATTACCAGCACCTACGCTGTGGACAGCTATAAGCCCGTTGCGGGCTTAGTCTTTGTGGCGATCACAGTCAACAAGAACCTGTGGGGTTATGGATTCGCTGAGTTCATCACCCCGTGGGTGATCAAAAGTGGTTTCGTGAGCCCAATCATGATGAATATGTCTTTGACCACCCTATGGTGTCTTTGCGCCATTCCGGTCTATTTCTACGGAAAGCGTTTCCGGAAGTGGACCGCCAAGTCACCAGTTCACAGTATGTAGTTCCATCACTATCGGAAGTAGCGCTGGATGCTTCCGATTCTCAGTCCAGAATTGAGTTCATGCAATGAATACTTTGATCCAGGACCTTCAGCGTGTACCGGCTGTAGTAGGTGTGTTCGGAATTGTGTGCGAATGTACTCGGGGGCACTGTACATTTAATCACATCATTTCGTCGTCGTCAGGGTCGTAGAGATCAAGATCCAGAGTTGCCTTGGGCTTAGGCGCAGGCGCAGGTGCGGCTGGAGCTCCGCTGCTCGCCGCACCTGCTTGAGCTGCGGCTTTGGCGGCTTCGTTCGCATGTCTCCTCTCCTCTCCCATAGGCTGCGGTGCAGGAACCACCGGCTCTGTAGATCCCAGACCCTCAGCCTCGCGTATCAATCGTTCCACCTCCTGATCGGGATCGAACCCCGGTCGGCCTTCGGCAGCGGTCAGCTGTATCTGACCCATCAGACCCATCCGGATACGGTCTTCCATCGGATATGGGACCATGTAAACCTGGCGGGTCATCTTCGCCGATTCATCGAGCCAGGATGTCGCTTCCTTCGTGACGGATGAGACCGGTTCTGCGCCTTCCTCCGCACCAGGGCCGCCATTTACACCCGTCATTGCCATGTCCTGGTCCCCAGGTTGTAGACTTCTTTCCCGTTCTTTGGCGGCCTGAGTGGCGTTGGCAGCTGCATCCGCCGCGGCTTGGTGGTTATACTTGCTAATCCGTCGCGCAAAATCCAGCAGCAACTTGTAATCAATCTCCTTTGTTTTTCGCAGACCGCCTGGCTTGGTTTGCATTTGATCGCCGCAGTAATCCAGATCATCATCATCGGAAACGTCCTCCGCATCCGAATCGCTCGCCTCGTCGTCGCCGCAGATCCTTCGAATGTCCTTCTCGTAGCCCACAACGTCTCTGACGATGCCTTTGACCTTTTCCTCCAGACTCTCAGCCTCCACGCGAAGTTTTAGAATTCTGGCGTAGTTCTCCTGGTGCCGGCGAAGCGTCTCAATGGCAGATGTGAGCGAGTCGTCCGCGTCAAGCAGTGCAAGGGCTGCTGCAGGAGCTCCTGAGGCGGTCGGCGACGTCGTAAGGTTCGTTATAAGGGCATTGAGTTTATCTTCCAGATTCGAAAGAGTCTTTTGAAACTCGACGTCCATTCTGAGTGTATCCTAGATCCCTTCCTGCAGAATATGTGTGACCCTGAGCTTCAGTTGATCGCACGCGTCGCGGGAGGTGTCGACATGCAGCAATGCGAAGTTGAATGACGCAAAGTCTATCAGGCTAGAAGCAAGGAGTAATCGGGAGATTTATCTGCATTGACCGGTTGTAATGCGACTGAAGCTTGAATGGTGACTGATCCAAGGAACCGTTGAAGCAATGGCCTAAATGAGAAAGTCGTGTCACGTGATATAACAGCTCCGCATCACGTGTCATCACCCAAGGATTGTCTCTTGGGGGGTACTGTTTCTTCAAACTGCTGAATATCTTAAAAATGATTATCTGATAATGACGGGACATGCCTCTCGCAGCTTTGGAGGAAAGCCCATCTACCAATAGTCAAGAGTTGGCCTATCTTAATATCGGGGGCACATTGCGGAGACGCGGGCGAAATGCGGACGAGATCCGATTGCACAAGTCAGGCCATGTTTGGTCCTTGATATTCGACAGATAGTCCTCTAAGACATTACTCATTGTTTCTAGCGATTATATCGGATTCAGACTCCTTATTTTGTTGAATACATCGCAGGAGAAAGGTGCATATCTCCCCAGATCACCCATAACTTCCGCCCCATTTCGACAGAACGAATTCAATGAATTACTACCTGTAAATTGAGAGCATCTAGCCGCCAAATATTACTTGCACGACATGACTTCCGGCTCTACTTCCCTTCCCTCTGCTCCCCGAGTTGAGCTGAATCCCCGCGTTGTTTTACAGCCCCCGCTTTCCCGCTGTGGCCATGGACCGGGGCTGATACTTATCCGGCCGAGTCATTTCGCAGAATGTCAGGGGAAGAACCAAAGTTTAGATCCGGAGCCTCTGCAGAAATGGGCTGAGGAGAGCTACGCGATAGTCCAGATTAGTCTTGATGCGGAATCCAGTGGTGACGAGGATTGTGTACTTGATCTTGTCAAGACAGCGATCGAGAGCCTTAATTCACTCCGGGAGTGTGATAAGAAGGATCAATTCGGCTTACTAGGTATGAACAGATATTCAACAGCCGTTTGCATGCTAATGGGCTTAGTCTACGGTTCCCAAGCTGGTTATGCACCGGGGTTTGTGAAGATCCTGGATGCAGTCGTAGCCGCTGGTATAGCAGCGGTGGTATATTTCGGGAGTTGGGATACGCTCCCTGAGACTCCTGCCTTGGTACACATGCCTGGAGTTAGCAATGGGATCCAGGAAACAGAAAGCCGCACTGTGTATTCGTACCCTGACGTCTCGTCGGCCGGCTTCATTGTACCCGGTCATGCGGATTTCAAGTACTCGACGGCAGGAGTAGCGCATACCCGGTCATTGAGCTTCTTGAAGAAGCACTTAGATGGGCCTTACTTTAATCTCGAGAAGATCTGGGAGGAGCATACCTATTACGAATTCGGAGACCGATCAGTAGAGAAGACCATGGCGACAATGGTCCAGGAGCCCTATGTGAATCATGTTCCGACTGTGAGAGACCCATTCCTGCCGCTCTTGACGATACTGACGCTGGAAAGATGACGGGTGGGATTGGCCGTGCGCGACTGAGCAATTTCTACCTGAATCATTTCATCTTCAATAATCCCGATGACACAGCCCTGGAGCTGATCAGTCGCACGGTCGGTATCGACCGCGTCGTGGACGAGTTCATATTCTCCCTCACACATAACAAGGAGATCGACTGGCTGTGAGATCCACCTGCATCTACTCTACCAGCAGACCCTAACATCTTATAGTATTCCCGGCATCCCACCAACCGGAAAGCCTCTCCGCATACCATTCACATCAGTGGTGAATATCCGCGGGGATCGTCTATACCACGAGCACATAGCATGGGATCAGGCGACGGTCCTCGTGCAACTGGGCCTGATGCCAGAATACCTCCCATACCCTTATGCTTTGCCCGACGGCAGGCTCCCAGGCCCGGGGAAGAGATTCGAGTATCGAGTCCCTGCGGCCGGTGTGGAAACTGCGGAGAAGTTGGAGAACGAACACAAGATCCCTTCAAATCAGATGTTTGAGTATAAGATCCGAGAGGTTGATGATAAATAGCATTATATGCGAGAGTATATTTGAATTCGACCTTGTCGAGGTTTAGCAATGCGGCGTAGACATAGACAACTGCAACGGGAGTGGCATGCCGTATAGTTTGCTTCTTCTAATGGTGGGCTCTAAGGCAGTAACTTGGCGGCATGACACTGTTCATTGATGATGGCCTTAACACGGACCATTTACCCTCCCTCCTATATAAACCCAGAGGTCTTTATTCTTCAGCAGCCATGCGTAAGACTCAAAATTCCCTATTTCGAAGACAAGTGTTGGTAGAGGCGAGGGCAGGGCTTTAGATAAGGTCTAGCCAACATCTGATATGGCGCTTCAAATGAATCAAAGTCTCAGGATTCGGTAGATATGCAAACTCTGATTATTCTGGTCATCTGCATTCATGCTGGGACATAGCCTTGGCCGCGTATGGCTTGCTCAGCTCTATACCGAAGTCGCTCAAGAGAAAGCCTCCAGACATCACTGGATTTTCTGCCAGTAGGAATCGCATTGCCACACAGCTCATCCCTCCTGATAGTGATTTCTTGGGGAGGAGTCCCCAGAAGGGGACGCGGGAAAATGTCCTGTAGAGAAGCTGTTAATTGGACATCTAAAAGAAACGATGTTCCTAGGGAAAATCTTACAAAGGTCTCAGTTCCTTGCTGGTTTTTACGCCAAATCTCAAGTCTACCTTCTATTCTAGATTGACTTACTTGTGACCATTTCAGGATAAAGACAATGTTAACATGCGCGGCCCCTCCAATCAGCCAGACATCTTTCTGCATAAGGAGGTATGGATATAACTGGGAAAACCCTGATACAAAGACAATCGTGGGCAGGGGAAAGCCGCTCGGCTCCAAGTAGAGATTTGGTACCGCAAACGACATCTGATATGGGGCTGCAAATGTATTGAAGCCTGCTCCGTACAGGACTGGGTTAGATATGCAGGGATTTAGATAGGATGTAACATACGAGTGTTTGAAGACATGCTGATATCGTAATTTTCAGCGAGAGTCAAGAACCCCGACACCACCCCTGCCCGGATGAACTCGTCGCTAATCCAGGGTTGATGACAACTGGGAATAGCTGTGGGCATGTCGACGGTGAAGACCTGGGTGACTGAATTGTAATTGATGAGGACTGATCTTGCCTCGATCTCCCCATCTGAGTCGAGACTGAGTGCAGCACGACTCCCAATGCTGGGTTCTATGCTCTCGTATTTCAGAAATACTGCTTCCCTTGCAGTGAGAATGTCATTTTTGACCTGGAAGATGAATCTTCGGCGTCTGAAACTTGACTCTGCTGGCGCTTGAATTCCCAGCAATGGAGAGTGGTCAGGGGAAGGAGTTGACATTGTTGTAGATTGCAGAAGAGAAGTGAGCAGAGCAGTAATTAACGAGTATTTGGTGATAAAGTAGTAATTAGTTTAACAGCAGTGAATGAAAAAGGAGATGTAATGATTACGGAATCAAAGCTTACAATAACTTTGGTCGGTAGAATCTTATACTAGAATTCCGAAACTAGGTTATTGACACAAGAATATGTCTGCAGGCTCGATTTGACTGATGGGTAGTAGGAGTAGGAGTAGGATTATATTCCAGTACAGCAGCCTTCTCTGGGAGCTCTATTTTGGGGGAGTCATTCCTATGAGCCAACATCTTACTAACTAAGCCTAGATATACAATACTAAAACGTCTGATAGAAGCAACTAAGATTAAACCCCAGACTGGGTGAACAAATGAAAGAGATATATGTTAAGGAAAGACAGACCTATATCTAGTGCTTAAAAGCCCTAAGGCATGTCAGGAGATTGTATCAACACTATGCTGCATATGGCCTAAGTACTATATACTGAACTATCTTCATCCAGGCTATGGGAGCTACTGTCACTATCCCCTAACGACATGTGTTTCCCTATAACTGCCTTAATTATCCTAGCAGTCCTATCTAATCATGAAGTCCAGAGCAAGCCGCCGGAAGCTGGCCCAGAGTGTAGGTATTAAGGAGCCTCCTAGGGAGGGGTCTAACAGAGGCAGAACATATGAATGCCAATTCCGCCAGATATGATCTGATTCCGGATGGCCAGATGGCAGAGATCATAGCCGCACTTATAGGCTAGTATGCTATAGACTAACGCCCGAAACTCAGCAACATAATAAACTAATGACAGAATTGAGACTGTTGTATCCAGCCATGATTCAGTACCAACCAACATTGTCGGGATCCTCGGGGGCCGAAACATTGGTACCAACACAGAAACCCTGTATGCAAGTGATATCAGCATGAGCCGATCTCTATCGGCAATTCGGCATATGCTGGCTATGAGACTCTAAAGCAAGAGACGTCAAACGTCTATTTAGCATCTTATCAAAGTTTCAGTGCCTCACAAACTAATTTGTCTCTAGTTTCCTGGTAGGGCAGAGGCTGTAGAATTCTATCTGGAGGAGGGTCCAGAGGCAGGCAACTCAGACAAGGCAGAAATGTTGCGCGGTATTCAGGGTGGGACCACTACCTAGGGTGAGACGAGCTTTCCCGCTAAGCTTTCTTTGGGCCCGATTTGATTGGGCCCCTTTAATCCCTCAGTGTTCTTGAGCAGATTCTTGAGGAGTCACATGGTCGGTTGCTAACAATAGATGGTGCGTAGACTAGTCTAGCAGTTAGCCAGTGTCTTGGTTGAACCAGGGCAGTGTGTTCTCCAAGACATCTGCCAATACTGCTTTATTTACAACTACCATCAGGTGTGTAAGACTGTGCTGAATGCAATGCTTTGGAGAGGATGAATCATGTGAGCTCAAGTACTTGTCTAACATACCTACCTTGGGTTACCTCACTGGTACGTGTGAGCGGTTAACCAACACCAATAGGAGGCTGTGTTGGTCAAACGTTGGTCCATTTTATTGTAAGGTATAATTGGAACCTTAGGAACTTAACTTAGTACAGGAGTACCTGAGATGATGGACCAAGGTTCCCACCTAGAAAATGATAGGGGAGTGGGTATTGTCTTACGTTCTACAAGCTCATTTAATGTCAGTCCCTCTCCACCGCAACCTCCAGGCAACAGGAATCTTAAATTTTTCTTAATCGCCATATGCATTGCAATAGAGACAACCAAGTCTTGGTATTTAAGTGTAGCAATGAGTTACAGGATCCTTCTCGTACGTGGTTCCAAGCCAACGACTGCAGGAGATGATCGGCTCGTGTCATTGAGGCTGTACAACACCAAACCAGCCTTGGGTCGCATGTCTCAGTTCAAGCGATACATTTAAGGCCCGTAAGTTATCAATCTGCCTCGCTGTCTCGCGCTGCTGATCTTCCGACCCCAAATCGGTGATCTCCTAGCTTGACTAGTTCATAATTGTCGCCGTGTTCCAGAAGTAGCCTGCAGAGTGCAGACTCGTATAAGACTGTCTCCCTGCCCGCAGTTTTCCTTTTCCCTGCCCGTCCATGAATCCGCCCATTTTAGGTTTTCTGATGCCTTCCCCGCGTCAAATCACCTCACTATGAGATGAGCACGTTTCAATCCATAAAAGCCACTTTTGCCACTAGTGCCGCTTCATTCACTACAAGTCTACAACCCCTTTGACTCTGGAGACCCAACGCTTCCTTCTGCTCTTATCCATTCGCATACGGATATTCGAGGTTGCTAGCTTGATGCGCTCTTACATACAAACATAGTCCTCACCACCATTCCTTACGACTCTACAACCACCATGTTGCTACGATTTCTGTCACTGGCCGGTCTCTGCCTGGGCCGTGGCGTCGCTGCCCTCGCTCCTCAGGGCCACCCCTCCGATATTCAAACATCAAACATCCAACATTCTCGCCATTTCTACAAAATCGACATTCCCTGCTCTTACTGTGCATTCTCAGACGCCGAATGTTCTCAGAGTCCCGAATCAAAATCATACGTGGTACGTCAATCCTAACATCTCCGATACAACGATACTAACCTCACAGACTATTGACTTCTCCTCCGACAATGGCACCCTATCCGCCAACCACGAATCCGTCTTCCCACCGTCATTACCCATGCAATTCCCCGCAGTCAAGCACTCGGATTCCGGCGACCAATCCGTCCAGGTCGCATACAGCCTCGACGCACGACCTCTCCCCGCCCAGCCTGGCGCCCTCCTAGGCGAGACATACCTCCTCAAACTGCGCCTGTTCGATCTCCACGGCCGGCCCGTCACACCCGATCTGGTCGCGATAGCCGTATCCCGACACGACGACGGCACCCTCAGCATCGGCAAGGTCGAGCGGTCCCCGTTCCACAGACACGGCCACATGACGTCCACCTGGCGCCTTCTCAAATCGCACATCAGGCCTTACCTCGATCAGTTGGCTGGTGGTGCCGGCCCCGATGGAGAAGGACAACCGCGCCATCATCGCCGGCCGGCCGATATCTACCGGTTCAAGAACCCTGCGTCCCACTACCACAATACCATGCCGTGGAGCAGCCGCGATCGCAGCTTCATGAGGCTCGTGCGCCCGGTGATTCTGCCTGCGTTGCTGGGTGTTACGGCAGGATTGTGTGCGTGTCTGGTTGGGTTCGTGGTTGGGAAGGTCATGATCTCGCTCTGTCGGTGGTGGTATGTCCGGGGTGAAAAGGGGTATCGCGAGGTCCCGGCTATTATCATTGACTCGGTGGAGCTGGAGGAACGTCTCGTCGCGGAAAAGGAGAACTCGGGTCGAACGTTGCGGTGGCTGGGTGTATGACCTTATATAACCATAGATTTCTTTTTGTATAACCATGAATCATTCCTAGGATTGCTTTGATAAGTCGGTATATTCCCCATCTGCATCAACAAGGCCTGCTGGCCCAATGGTAAGGCGCTTGACTACGGATCAAGAGATTGCAGGTTCGAATCCTGCGTAGTTCTTCAATTGCAAACCATTGTGGATATTTTCTGTCAGTCTGGCATGGGGTATCCACTAGACCCCCATTCCGTATTCGGAAATTAGTCGATGTCTAGGCCATCTCAACCCAAGCATGTCACGCAACGCAACGCAGTATAAGATGTATGCTACCCGTGATCAATCTTGGTCAGTACAACGATGAGCAACATCAGGCAATGCCTTGCGATACGCCTACTTTGTGATTCTCCCGATCTGACCAGTATTGCCATGATTAGCCAGTTAACACTGACCCTCAGACCTCTGCGCTGTGCGTTCATAAAGTATCATGTTCTGAGAGAAGCTCTATGCCTATACTGCATGCTGTATTCAATGATATCCTCCAAGTCTGTATGCACAAGCAATTGCGGACTTTCAGGCAAATGCGCGAGCTGCAAGCTTCAGTTGTGAATGCACCAATACAATGTATGCATCGCCATTCATCCTTATACATAGATCATTCTGTCTTACTATCTATATTCATTAGTCTCTCTCACTCGTATGATTTGCCAGTACCCCTGTCTGGGTATGGCTGCAAGCAGCCATACCGGTAAGCTGTGCTGGACGAGTGGCTGTGGTCTTAGGCCAGGGGACTTGTGACGTTGCATCTTAGGATACCATCTTCCCTGAGTGATACTACCAGAAGGTATATTGCCTGATTCTCCACAACGAACCGCTGGACCATGGCGAGTGACTGCTGTTTACCAGCATACTAAACTTTAATTGAGATGTCAGTTGCGTGGGCATGCTTATGTGGTACGTTGATATGGATCGAGCCTATCCGTACTCTAGAACGGTGCGGCATATTTCCATTAAGATGTAAATTATAACAGACTTTAGAACACGATTGCCGCCACGTAAATCGAAACGCACATCCTGAATTGACCACAGCAATAGCCAGCTCAGCGCAAAGTCTTTATGATCGAAGACAGCTTGTCAAGCAGCGTATTGATGGTCCCTTTGTCTTTTTCACCCCCGGTGGCTGGGCTCGTAATGACATTGACATTTGTGCCGCCGCCGGTGTTGGTCGCTCCACCGTTGACTCCATTGTTGGTATTTCCGCCCCCGTTGACGGGGTCAGTTGTAGTCGATCTCTTTGCACGTTCAGATGCCTTGTTGCCGGCGGGGTCTGGCGCTTCCATGCTGGCTGAACCCCGACTGGTTGCAGAGTCTACAGCTTCAGAACCCTCTGTACCCGTTCCGGATCCTGCAGGTTTGTTGGGGGTAGATTCTCTACCAGCGTCTTGAAGGGTCGAAGGACTATCACTTCCATAGCCTGCGTCGCCTGTTCCAAAGCCAGAAGGCCTGCTGCCCGCAGTGCCGTCGGTAGAACTGCTACCGCCCACGGAAGGTGCTGGCATTTCAGGGTTCCCGGTTCCAAACGCACCGGGAGTGCCGGCAACAGTTCCACTCCCTTCAGATACTGTATCTCCAGAACCTAAACCAGAGCTTGGAGTGCCACTGCTCCCGGAGCTGCTGGGGGAGAAACCGCTGCCGTTAGGCCTAGTACCTGTGCCGCTGGTGCCGCCAGCATTACCAGAGACCCCATATCCGCTGACCTTGGTTCCTGGACTTGCCGAAGCAGAGCTAGAGCCTCCGCGAACACCCCCAGATGCGGGGGTGACAAAGCTGCCTGCAGTGTCGGTCGGGGAACCGCCACCCTTAGAGCCACTACCGGGACCGCTGCCCGCGATGGCAGACCCGCTCGCCCCGGTACCTGGAGCTGCTCCGGATGGTGTGACCGTGATACCCGAACCAACCGTTCCAGCAAAGCTATTGTCGGCCGTGCTTCCGGGCCGGGAATTACCTGTGGCGGCATTCCCTATAGTCGTGTCGCCAGTGGCAGTGCCGCCAAAATCAGAGTATTGTCTGGACTGGATGTGCGTGCCGCTGTCCACGCCAGAGGCTTCCTGCCAGCCGAGCTTCTCGGCGAGGCCAGCGACTCCGTCCTGCCCCAGTCTGTCGTGGTAACCCTCCTGTGCCGGCTATCAGCGATGAACATTATGCTTCTGCTCTCTATCCACAAGGGACTCACAACGTCTAACTGGTCCATGGCAATAGGTCTAGCTCCAACGAGACCAGAGAATGAAACCATATCGACCAAGAAAATCAAAGCCAGTAAGCTGGCCTTGGACTTCCGTAGAGTAGCCATAGTAGAGTTATCACACCGATGTTTTGATTGAGTCAAGTGGAGAATTGCAACAATCAGGCCAAAAAGGACTGCATTGACCGAGTCTTCGTCTGTGAAAAGCACCCCAGACAATGGGAATTTGTCACGCTTTTTAACTGTTTCTACTTCCTAGGAGTCGAACGGCCGAGACTGATCATTGCAACTCTTGAGCATCATGGGCTCAATCCGTCGGCGCCACAAAACAAAAGGTTACATTAAGGTCAAGCAAAACCACGGTCGTTTCTGGGAGCAGACCCCAACTGGAGAACAGCTCCTACCTTAAGTCAGACTGACAGAGCTTATTCCTTGGTTCACGCAGTAAAACCCGCCGAACGCTTGGTTCAGGCGCGGGATCAATGGTATAGGCCGAGAGAACGAAGGAAATTAGTAGTTCCAAGGGTGGATTCAGGTTGCATCGCCAAGGGTGATACGCTTCGGGAACATGCTGAGCACCTGGTTTTCCCAAGACTGTTTAAGTCTAAAAGCGGGCCGTTGAATGACAGGTGCGAATGACAGGCGCGTCTCCGCCTGACAGCTCTTTGACTGACTCCGGTTCTCTGAGAAGCTAGCTCTCCAAGCTGAACCGGGCTCCAGGTGCTGCCTGTACTGGTTGTGAGGACGATGAGGAGTACCCCAGTATTTGAATAGACAAGTGTACAGGCAAGGAAACGCCCCTGAGGATGGGAATGCTCTTGCATTTCTATCAAATGATGCGAGCATGGTTGGCAAGACTAGGCGATCCTGTTCACTCTACCGAATAACCTGAGCAAGCTAAGCATCGGTGCTTTGACCTTCATGGCTTTTGCGTCGATGCTTATGGGTTTCTTGCCTTCCTGTTGCAACTTCATGCAAACAGATGAGAATCCCATCTGGTTGGAATGCAACCGCATCTGGACGCGATCGTGGTGTCAACTATGCTGGCCTAGTGAGAAGAATATCGACCCACAATATGTCAACTCTTACTGCAAATGATGACCTCCCTTCGCTTCATGGTCGGTCCCACTTGGGAGCATGTAAAAATGGTTTACGATTTTATCCTTCGTTGTCTAATGTCGAGCTCAGACACGAGAATCATCAGAACGTGGGTTGCTGTGGGGATGGAATGGAATGGAATGGAATGCAGGGTCTGCTGTCAAGGAGTCTGGCCATATTCTCCCCAAGGAGGATTCCACGTTCCGGATTGCCCTTTTCAGGGCCAGAGAGCCCTTTCCCATATGCCACCTGACTGTTGACCACAGTTCTATACCCCTCTGGCTCATCATACCGTCTGCGGTAAGAGCGCAGAAGTGACGCAAACAGCAGGTTAGGATGTCGGATTAAGCATCGTCTTACATTGATTCAAGCTTATCTCGCATGAAACAATGTTCACAATGGCTCTTGGGATAGATTGACGACACCAGAGCGGATTAATGCTTGCATTCCCACATATGAACTCAATTGTTTGATTCAAAAATGTGCAAAGTGCAGCATACGTTGATCAGTGAGCCAGGTACTTGTAAAGCTCCAAAAACGAGAATGTTCTTGGGCGGTCGATGGGAAACCAGGGTCAGGTGAGACTATGAGCCTGAAATATTTCCCCGGTGGTCCAGAATTTCGGTTGGTGGATGGAGGACGAAGATAGTACAAAATAGCGAAACCTGAGAGCAGATGCAAAATGAAGGGCGCTGTGCGCTGGCTGCAAGACGAAGTTTCTGAGTTGCTTCAGCGCGGTGCGAAGACATTCCCAGTTAGGGAAGTGCAGCGCCACTTTGGTCAGTAAGAGCGAAGATGCCTGAAAGCGGCCGCCTTCCTAAGGCATTGTTGCGAAGTCAAGAGTCAACACACACTTTTCGTCAGTAACCCTTTATTATGTGTTCGCGAGAATGATGCGTCTCGTAGTTCAAATTTTAATTAAGCTCGAGACATTGCCCACAAAATGAACGGGAAGACCGGGAAGACCGGGCCTTGCCGAGGAGATTGTGGAAATAACCATTGGCATCACGGGTGATCTTAATAGAATGCCATGCTTCTGAGGGGCAGGAAATGTACCAGCAGGTGCCTTAATGCTCCTTGACAGCAGGGTAACTGTTAACAATCTTAAAACTTCAATAAGGAAATTGCTTTTGTTGCACAGCACATCGAGTTAACACAGGTTAAGCTCCCGTGGCGAGGGATCTCAGGTAGTAAGATATCAAATTACAATTGCCTTCATGTTTCACCCATGGTTACCAGAGGTGCATAATTCATAGCTTCTGGAAAGCGTCCAAGCCAAGGTTTGCCACCGACTTTAGTCTATTGGAGCTTTTAGCCCTTTACTTACCTCCTACAGGTAGTTTTAGTTGAAAATGTGGCTGGTGAGCTATTTCATCAAGGATTGCTGTACCTTATTGCACATAAGGCGGTGGATTCTACTTGAGCTTCTGGCCAATCATGGGAGAGGGACATGCATGAAAATGAAATGAGAAAAGCAAGCTCAATTGCTCAGATCCACAGTCGATCATTCCAAATTCAGACTCCAACTCACCAGCCTCCAGGCTCCAACCTCTCCAGACGGAGACTCATATGGTCATTCGTCAGGTAGAAATTCAGCGCCACCTATTATTTTCTTGCTCTGCGCTGGCAAAATGAGATTGTTTGTGCGCTTCCGGTAGCCAATCAGCATATGACGTTGTTATTGACGTATAGTGGTGGTTCAAGTACAACGCCAGGGAGCCATCCTTAATTTGAGTAGGCATTGCGTTAATCCTGTTATGCAGCTCATTTTGTCGATGCAAATTACTTAAAATTGGCCAGGGTGTATCTAGGAATGCATCCCTATTGTGGTTATGTCCTTGTCTCGCTATGCTTGAAGCGAGGAGCTTGGCAACAGACTAACAGACTAGGTAACAGACTAACAGAGCTAAGAGTGTGGCTGGTGACCGCTTCAAATTCCGTAATGATGAGCAAATGTCAAATCTTTGATCGCACTATCGCACGCTAAACCCTGAAATCTAGCGAGGGCAGCCAATGAGATGGATTTAGTCAAGCCACAGCGGCTGGGATCATATCTACTTCATACCGGTCAGCCACCTGCCTGCATGCAGGACCAAGATCCCTGCCATGACCCACGCTTGTAAAGTTGATCAGACCATGATTCTATCAATGACTTCACCGAGCAGCAAAACACGCCCCGTGCCTCGATCCCTACTCTCTAGTAGTGGGTACCTACCTTGCACTACTCCGTACTAGACTAGCCACGTTGCTGGGCAGCATTCAGCCGAAGATGCGGTCACAGACTCACTGTGGACGAGGGCGACGGGCGATCGTTCTCTCATTGAGAGAATGGATCCCCCAGGACCATTGGGAATCTCGAAGCTTCAATTGCTGTCAACTCAAGCGCGATTATTTGGGTTATCTTGCCGCAGTTACCTTATAAAAAGCGCCCCTCCTCCGCTTCCACTCACTCCCTTGAATTCTTTCCACTTACATCATCGACCTTATTCTGTCCAAGGCCCCAAGAGTGCTCTAATTGATTCAATATCACTCAGCATATTCATCACTCTTCTGACTTTCACTTGACTTTCGATATTCTATACCTCATCATGAAGGCGTCTCTTTCTCTCCTTGTGCTGACGGCGGCCAGCATGGCGAGCGCCGCCATGTCTTTCTCGGAGTGCGCAGTACGTTGTTCATTGCCCTGAAACTGCCTCAAAATTCCCCTTGACTGACTCCCCTTTTCGCAGCAAATGTGCCTCAACAACATGAATAACAAGGCTGGCGAGCTGGGCTGCTCCAGCGGCGACATGAACTGTCTCTGCACAAAAGCCAACTACGGATATGGTATCCGTGATTGCACTGCCGAGGCCTGTCCTGCCGACAATGCCGCCGCTGTCCTATCCAGTGCACTGTCCTCTTGCCCTAGTAAGTACTCACGAGAATCTGCGCTGCTCCAACGCGATCGAGCTAGTTGCTTATTGCAATCGTTAGGTGACTCTGCAGCTGTCACTGCCACAGGAGCTAGCTCCGGTTCTGGCTCTGGCTCTGGCTCTGGCTCTGGTTCTGGCTCTGGCTCTGGCTCTGGCTCTGGCTCTGGCTCTGGCTCTGGCTCTGGCTCTGGCTCTGGCTCTGGTTCTGGCTCTGGCTCTGGTTCTGGCTCTGGCTCTAATTCCGAATCTTCTACCACCGCTACTAACACTGCTACCGGCAGCGGCAGCAACTCAACTGGTGCTGCTGGTGCTGGCGCTGGTGCCTCCTCCACTGGCACCAACCCTTCGGGAACTGGAGCTACTACCTCTGGAGCGAACCCCTCCAACACTGGTGCCACTACCACAGATACGACAATGACTACTACTACTACTACCAGCTCCTCTTCCACCTCTGGGAGTGGCACCTCCACTGGCAACGGTTCCTCCGGGACTGGATCTGGTAGCGGCTCTGGCTCCACTTCCACTCAGACTGCCCCCTCCAACTCGTCCACTGGCAATGTTGCCCCTCGCGGCGCCGTCGTTGGTTCCGGTGCCGTCGGAGCCCTGGCCCTCGCTGCCTTTGTTATCCTCTAAACCTCTCAAAGATTGAGTTGATGACAATAGGTTTGCTAATGCCAGTGTATGTCTTATGTTGATGAATAACGGTTGATGATACCTGCCATTGAAAGCCGGCTTGTACATGGGAATTGGTGGATTCTGGTCTGATTTGTAATTAACGTTTTGACCTTTTCTGATGCCACGGTATCCGTCGTGCTATCCTAATATATTAATATTTCTGACCTGTCTATGTCTCCCTCCCTTTCAAGTTACTCTCCAGATGCACCGTAGATATATGTAACCAACAATGTAAGTAGTAGTATCACGCGTCAGTAGCTGCTCAAGAGCTCTGAAGTATCTACTTGAAGGACAAAGCAGAATGGCGCCAACCCGGGGCGCACGCACGTGGATGCGGAAGTTGACTATCTCAGCCCTACTCCGTACCGTCGCTGCAATTCGAGCGGTCTGTCGCATGTGATTCCTTGGCATTCCCAGAAGCACTTTGATGACATCAGCTGGTATCAGGATACTCTCAGTGTCGTCGGTCAAGAAGATCAATCGCTTGAGCCAAAAATTAGATATTGGAAGACAGGGATGTCCACTAGAGCCAAGCTTCCTGTCGTCCGTAGAGGTGCCCCCTGCTCTTGGCTGGTGTGACTGGCCAGAATACCTGGAGTAATGGAATCCGGGGCAGGGATCCGTGGAGGGGGTAAAGACCTAAAGGTCGAGCCGTGGTTTAGTGCCCGTTCACCCGGACCGTCCACTGCACACGCTCGACTTTCCGATGGTCGTAGAAACAGTACAAATTCCGGGATGCAGGAAAGGATACGGAGGACACAAGATCACTTTTATGATGGTGCCTTGGATGATAGAGTACAGCTGACAAGGTCAGAACCTGGCTTATCGTTATTTCGACCATCTGCGATCTGAGGAGATACATTGATCCGGACCGAGCCGAGGTCCAGTCACGCGCGTTCGCCGAGCGGTGGTTGTACCTCTGTGGCGGGACTGTATTCGTCGGTATCCTCCTGCTCGGCCTCGGCCGCTTTTGTTGCGGGATTGGCAGCTATTTTTTCCCCTTGGACTGTCTTTTCTCCTCCAATTCTGTTGTAGAATATCATCCTTGTTAGTTTTCTCTTCACTTCAGCTTCGTTTGTTTGTTCTGCCTTTTCGCGACCGTTTCGCGCCCTCCGTCCTCTCACCTTCGCTCTCCCTCGCGATCGCCTCACACATTGACCTCTTTGTGTCCCTGCTTATCTTCCTCCTCTCCCCCGCTACGGAGTAACTGAGTCGTTTCCCCGCGTCTCCCTACACACTTTTCACAATGTCGACCCCATCTTCGTCTACTCCTGAGAACCTCAAGGATGAGCTCAAGGCCGTAGAGGCCAAGGCTGTCAACCAAACCATCGCTCAGATCCGCTCCCTCGCCGCAGGTGCGGCGGGTGGTATCTGTGCGGTGGTTGTCGGCCATCCCTTTGATCTGGTGAAGGTGCGGTTGCAGACGGCGGAGAAGGGTGTCTACTCGGGCGCCATTGATGTTGTCAAGAGGACTATTGCCCGTGAGGGTTTGGCTCGGGTAAGTCGCGCGGTCAGTCGAGTGTGGTGCCTGGTATTAATGAGCTGTAGGGCTTGTACGCCGGTGTTTCGGCACCGCTGGTTGGAGTCACCCCTATGTGTAAGTTGCGTCGCATTCCTTGGAAGCCAGAGTATTGAGTTAATTGATGTCTGTAGTCGCCGTCAGCTTCTGGGTACGTGTTTGGTGGTAAAGTGGTGCTTGGCTTGAAAACGTTAACAATTCATAGGGTTACGACGTCGGGAAAACACTCGTCAGCAGGTTCTCGGACGTGCGCATTGAGAACAACACCCCCCAGTACACCATTGCGCAGATTTCCGCTGCTGGTTTCTTCTCCGCGATTCCCATGACACTGATCACGGCTCCCTTTGAGCGAGTGAAGGTGCTTCTGCAGATTCAGGGTCAGAACCCTCCGCCTCCGGGACAGAAGCCCAAGTACTCTGGTGGTCTGGATGTCGTCCGGCAACTATACAAGGAGGGTGGTATTCGGAGTGTCTTCCGTGGAAGCGCCATGACTCTGGCCCGTGATGGCCCTGGTTCCGCCGCCTACTTTGCCGCCTACGAGTACATCAAGCGCAGCCTGACCCCCAAGGACGAGCACGGCAATGTCACCGGTGACCTGTCCATGCCCGCCGTTCTGGCTGCCGGTGGTGCTGCCGGTATTGCGATGTGGATCCCCGTCTTCCCTGTCGACACCATCAAGTCGCGTCTCCAGAGTGCCCCTGGCAAGCCCACAATCGGCGGCACCATCCGGTCGGTCTACGCCAGCGGTGGCTTCAAGGCGTTCTTCCCTGGTTTCGGCCCTGCCCTGGCCAGAGCTGTGCCCGCAAATGCGGCTACATTGTATGTGATTTTCCAGAGATTTCGCAGTGGATGGGATTACTAACGACTCGAACAGTGCCGGCGTCGAACTCGCGCACCAGTTTATGAAGAAACTCTTCGACTAGATGTCGAGGCTTTGATGGAATCAAAAAAAGGGAATGAGAATTCGATCGTGTAAGGGTGGATCGTCCGTTGAGATATTGTATATACCATTTTCCGTTGTTCGTGGCCCGAGAGTGCATATTCCGCGTTTCTTGCCAGTTTTTCTCTGCTATGTACGGGAGCATAGAAGCCTGGATATCCTGTTTACTAGGTATTATAGACGTGATGATGATTTTCTATTGGTCTATTCGCAATTAGCTTCATTATGCGACCGTCGACCAAGACTGTTTGATTCTGAAACATTTGGCGCCATGCTGACAGCAATGATAATCCGAACCAATCGTTTTTTGAAGTTACGAAGACATATTTGTTTGGAGTCCAAGCTCACTCTTGTTCCTGATGTTTATGGTGCACGACGGGCTCAAGCTCAGTTAGCAGAGTGAGCAGACAAATAGGTAGGGAAATAAGCATCCGTCGCGACGCTGATCAAGCCTCTTATCCAGTAATCCGAACCAGATATTCGTACCGATGCTGAATTTGGGATGGTTGAACGAGGAAGCCGGCTGACGGCGTCGTGTTGCGCCGCCCCTAAGTTTCCTGTTTCACGGCAAGGACTGATGGCTATTATAACTTCTAGCCTGAGAGTGATGGATCTGATAGGACCGAATAGTGCAACATATTGCGCCCTCAGAGAATTTCATTGGTGCTGATACATCCGTAAACCCCGAGTCTGAGGCTCAGCCTCGTTGCTGCCTTCGAGCTCGCTTGCCTGCCTGGCCTGGTTGGCCCGCTGGCCGCCCCCGTTCCAAGCAAATAAAATCGCCGACGCCCCCCTCAATCTTTTCTTTGTTTGATTTCTTGTTGCCATCCAACTACTTGTCTCTCTCTATCCATCAAAAATATCTATCACACATTCTTATTCATATTGTCAACAACGTCTGCTCCACATTTCGACACGATTCATCATGGTTGTCAGCTCCCTCGTCCGTCGAGGCGTGGAGCTTGCCTCCGAGCATTTGCAGAAGCACCCGAAGCAGCCTTCCAAGCAGCCCCCCGAGATTCAATTGTCGGGATGGCTCGTCGCTCTCTTTTTCGCTACGTTGATTGCTTTTGTTCTTATTTCTTGGTCGGTGAGTGATGATTCCCGTCAATATAGCACGGCTTGAAAGGAATTGTTGCTAAATTTACTGTGGTCTAGATCGAGTACACCTATGGCATGGTAGTCACCACCCTCGCTGCGGTTGAAGATAGCAATCCCGATATCTATGTCCGCATCGACGGTGACATTGATCCCAACAAGCCCGTCGATGCAGTCGAACCCGAGTTGGAAGCTGTGCCTCCCAAGCCCGTCACTAGCAAGCTCCGTACCACCATCAAGCACCTTCGCGCCCGTGCCGGTCCTTGGTCTCGATTCCGCGGCATGAGCATGTTCCTGACATACCTTTTCGCTCGGGGTCTCTTGCTGGGTATGATGCCCTTTGGCGTGGGCCAGTTTATTCCTCAGTTCCTCTTCCAAATGGTTGTTGGTGTTCTCCTGGCGAACTTGCAGTTGGCTTGGGTCCACATTGTCATCTCGGAGCCTTCTCCTAAGCGCTTCTACCAGCGTATTCCCGGCTACAAGGCCTGGTTGAAAATCGCACCCGTTGTGGCCTTTGAGCATGCTGTTGCCGGTCTTGCGTTCTATGTTCCTCTCGTTCTGATGCAGGCTTGCGGCGGCTTGGATGGATTGGCCTCGGCCCCCGAGGATGGTGTTCCTCCTGCCGACGCCGTTCGCCAGGCGCTCACCGTTGTCGCTCTTCCTTCTCTGCTTTCACTGATTGCGTCCATTCCTGCTCGCGTGATCTTCATCCGTGTCGCCGCTTCCATGCTGCCCGAGGAGGACGAGTCTATTGTGCCTTTCGATCGCTCTTTCGGCGGAAAGGTGACTCCCGCTATCCTTGGGGGCAGCGGTAAGCTCAGCATCACCGATGCTTGGAAGACCTTCGACCGGGCCGCTCGGATTCGTTTCCTCAAGGTGGTTGGAAAAGTCATGGCTCTGGAATTCGGCGTGTTTGCCTTCTTCTCGCTGGCGCTCGCGGGCGAAGTTTACATGGGAGCGGAGGCTTTCATGAAGATCATTGCGGACATGATCGCTCGCAGCGGCGGCAGCGCTTAAGTATATGTCATTCTGAATTGAGTATCCGTCTGACTCGGCTGCACAGATTGGACATTTACAGTTTCTTTTATCATCTCAGGTTTATACAATTATCTTTCCTTTTTTAATGTCAATCTATCAGCTCCCATTTTGCATATGACTTTGTTGAATATTTGTGGTATCGGTTGGATCTTCCCGTAGAACTGGATTATTCTCCTTCGATAGAAACGTGGACTTGTATTTGAAGCATAGTGGCAAATCGTCTTGCCATGACTGTGGCGGCGCGGACTGCATCCAACGCTGACTTCATGCCGCTGATTGTCACGGCCTGCGCTGCCCCTCACCAAAACAGCCACTTGCCATTCCTTTCTCTCCTCTTCTCTTGCAGTTGGTTACTCTTAGGCATTACCCCTAGTCTTCGAAAGGAACATCCGTTGTTCTCACATTTATAGCCTATCATTATTCTTGCGCATCATCCGCGCTTGGAGTCCCTGACGATCTCTGATCTCTCTTATCGTTCTTGTCATATCACATCCAAGGTATCTATCTATCTGCTACCTAGTGATAGGTAGCCCCGCTTCCCCACTCGACCAATCTTCACTCTCTGCACACCGTTCATTATTTTACGAATCACAGTTTCTTTCTCCTTGCCGTCTTTGGGTACCTTTCAGACACATCGTTCTTATTTTTGTCCTCTACCTCTTGTCACTGAGGTCCCAAAGTCCACCGGTTCTTCGCTCCAACTTCTCTCCTGGGTGACCGAACCTCTTCCACCATGGCCACAACACCAGCCGGTCGTATGCTGGCACGCCAGTTGCAGCAAATGCAACAGGACAAGGACATTCCGGGAATTAGCTGTGGGCTGGTGGATAACAATGTATTCGAGTGGGAGGTTATGCTCATGATTTCGGACGATGTCAAGTTATACGGCGGTATGTACACATTTTCCCCCTCAGTTGCCGAACGGATGACGAGGACTATATCAAGCAGTGAAGATATTCTGACGATGTTTGACAGGGGGTTTCTTCCGTGCTCGACTATCTTTCCCTCCAGAATATCCGCACATGCCGCCGAAAATGAAATTTGAATGTCCCGTTTTTCACCCGAACAGTAAGTTTGCCTCTTTACCTCTTTGTGGTCGGTTTAATGTATATATGATACTGAGACACTCTCTTCCTGTTAGTCTATCCCAACGGTGAGGTCTGCATTTCCATCCTCCACCCCCCGGAAGAAGACAAATACGGCTACGAGTCCGCCGCCGAGCGCTGGTCCCCCGTCCAAACGCCCGAAACCATCCTGCTGTCCGTCATCTCTATGCTGTCGAGTCCGAACGACGAAAGCCCGGCCAACGTGGAGGCCGCCCGGCTATGGAGGGAAGACCCGGCCGAGTTTAAGAGACGGGTCCGCAGGTGCGTCCGTGAGAGTCTTGGGGAGGATTGAGCGCATCAGCTGGAGAAGACTGCATACAATACGCTTGGTTTTTTCTCATGGCCTTTCCTACTATTGACCAGCGCGATCAGCGGGTGCGGTTTTCGGTGCTCATTCGTTTTGTCCTATGTGCATGAGGAACCGGTCAATGGGCGGTTCAGTCTTATACGTTGTTCTATGGTCTATGCATCATCTCTCGGCTATTTTGTTGTTGGTATGGCGCTCTAAGGGTCTGGAGTTGATTTGATTCATTCTCATTACGGCAGGATAGCTTGAGATTACCGCGCGCTGCACATATATATGCTTGTTGCTGGGTATTCGCAGTCCCATCGATGATTGATATAGGCGGTGAAATTTCCATGAAAGTACTGCAATTTCTTATGGCAAATGATTGTAATATTACCTCTGAGGGTAGTATCGATGAGAATATGGTCTATAAGTTATACCGTGTAGCCATGTACTATAACCCAAACTCCGGCTAAGAAGCATTTTGAAATGGACAAGAATGGTATACATAACAACAAAGCGACTTTCAATGGTTATGGCTGGTTCTTGGGGCCCTTTCGGATCGAGCCGAAGAAGAACCCTGGGTGTAGGACCGTGAGGGCAAGGACCGCCAGGGCGATCATCCTGAGGTTGTTAGTGGTTGTATTGCTGCCGCATGGAGGTTACTTGAACTTACATTCCGTCGAGGACGAGGAACTCGTTTTCCTTCTGCATTAGGGGGTTGCCCCATCCGCCGGCCATTTCGGGGATACTGGTTTCCTTGGTTAGTGTCTTGAGCGGATCGGAGGTAGCCTGTAAGGGGATGAAGGGTACACACCGGTAGATACAACGGATCAGAACAGTAAAGAAGGCGAGGACCTCGCCGACGATGACCCATTTGATGTTTCTCCCGAGGGAGGTCTTCTCGCCCGACAGCCCAGGGCCCCGTTTCCAGTAGCGGATGAAGAACTCCAGCCCGAGAAACCCGCACACGGACATCGTCGCGACCTGGAACGCAATACCCGCGATGATGATGTCGTCTCCGGCCTGGAGCAGCTTGCGGTTTGTATTTCCTGCTGCTGCGGCGACGCCGCCGCCTGCAGCTTGCAGGATGAGCGAGCCCACGTCGCAGCCGATGAAGATCCAGGTGAAGAGGGCGGGTTTCAGGCGCGAGTGCTCGGGTCCCAGGGCGAGGATGATGTGTTTCAGCGTCAGGTAGATGCCCGCCGCGACGAAGGTGGGTGCGAGGACCAGACAGACGATCTGTAGCTTGAAGGCTGAGGAGTTCCATGGGTTACTGTGCATCAGCACGCGGCCGATGTAGCCGGCCAGTTCGAGGATGGCGCCCACGGCGACCGCCACCATGAAGGTCCATGTGCGGTAGTAGACGCCGATGCCGAGCTGGAAGAGAGCGAGGATGCCGAAGAAGACGGTGAAGAAGATGTTGCCGGCTAGGTTCGGGTAGTAGCCGTATGTCGTGGCCTCGACCGGACAGAGCGGGCCGACTTCTGTGCAGGTACGGTAGCTGGCCATGTTCGCTGTGGCCAGGGTTTGTGGAATCAAAGGAACAGAAAGAAGACGAGAAAGCAGAAAGACGAAATGTATTGTCTATATTATATTGAGAAAGGGAAAAGAGAGGATGGACCAGAACGATCCATAATGCAGGTTTTGAGTGGATGTACTCCGTAATATTTTAGTACCCGTTGAATGAGTAAACCGTCCATTTGGCATTCATCGTTTATATTAGCGCTGACGGCATCAAGATACCCGATACTGCCAGGATGATGCCAATGTCGAGGTGGATCGAGAACAAATATCGAAACACCTCGGCTAACTCATTTGATTGGCGCTTGTCGTCCATCGCGTTCGCTCTCGTTCTCGTTCTCGTTCTCGTCTTCGTTCTGCCCCACTGACAGTGAACCATGTCTTATCATAACCGACACACGCCTGTGCTGCCGGCTAAGCCGTTCGGATTTCGGCCTCTCATGGTCCCGTTGATCCTTTAATCTCAGATGAAATCTATACAATAGAGGATCTCAACCAAAACACGATCAGGTACCTGTTCAAGCGAGATCAATAAGGTTCCTTCCGAGCATAAAGTTATATACGGACAGATTCGAATCCTACCGCCATTACGGAGTAGTCCGCCATGATTCATGGGCCGGTAGTTGGCGTAGTGGATACGCGGAGACGGACCCCACCATCGCGGCAGGGACGAAACTGAGAAGTATTCGAATACGCCTCCTACGCTGTACATCAGGTCATAGTGGTCGGTTGATATCAAAGAAAGTAGTATTGCAGTCGTCGAGGGCAGTGCATCACTGAGGTTTCTTCCGAGTACACAAATGACGTTGTTGGGTGATGCTATCGATATGCATACATATCACGTGACCCCACGAGAATCCCACGTGGTTTTCCATCTGTTGAGACCGTCAAATCAACTTCATCCATCGGCCATGCACAACACCACCGCAGGTGATAGCAGCTCCTAGCTCCTACCGTCGGCCGGCAGTCCTCCTATGAGATGAATCGGCTTCTTGAATCTAATCAATCCTGGAGATTCCGCCCCGTCGATCCCATACAAAGTCTCGCATGGGCTGCGACCAGTGCAAGAAAAGAAGGGTCAAGGTGAGCCAATCATCTTTGTTATGTCTTCTGCATTGGTATTTCTGTTATCCTATTCTCTTCTGACAGCAACATAGTGTGATGAGACTGGTCCACCATGTGCACACTGCATTGCTAGAGAGTTGAGCTGCTCCTACTACAACACCCCCAAACCACGTAGTTTAGCGAATGGGGCATCTGCTAGTCCTTTGTCCATTACCTCTTCTGGCGAGGGGCACATTGCTGAAACGTCGGGCCGGTCCTTTAACTCCGGAACCTCAAGCCTGACCAAGGGTTCCAACTTGCGAGAGCTGGAGCTCATGCACAAATTCTCCACTGAAACGTACCTGAGTCTCTCGAATAAACCATCGGACTACCATGTCTGGCAAATGGTCATTCCCCGCAAAGCTCTTGAACATGATTTTCTTCTGAACGGAGTTCTTGCGGTTGCTGCTTTGCATATAGCTTCAACGCTCAAGCCGCCAGATGCACTGACCTATATTGACACGGCCCTGGAATACCACAATCATGCTTTTGCCCCATACCGACAAGCTATAGATAACCTGACCCCTATGAATTGCGATGCTGTATTCGCCCACTCCGTGCTCACTACGGTCATTGGTATAGCTTTACCACGGCTGACTGCGGAGCGCGACAAGAGTTCAGGCATCACTGAAAATATCGTCGTGGTCTTCGAGCTATTGCAAGGCGTAAGCAAAATTTTCAAAATCAGCCGCCCATGGCTCACAATGCAGCTATTCACCTCACAAGATGACTCGGACAAAATGACGACGTCGAAACTAGACAGCGAAACGGAGCGTGCGTTGAACCGACTAGCCGCATTGAACGACGATATTGTGGCTACCGTGGACCCCGATCAGTATCGTATAGTGAAGGACGCTATCTGTCGCCTCCATGAATGCTTTACTCAACATGCTACCGACAGGGATGCGGCATCCGTACTCAGGTGGCTCGCAGTAGCGAGCAAGGAATTTGCCCACGCCCTAAGGTGTCGAAAACCCTTCCCCTTGATGGTGCTTATGTACTGGGGCGTACTTCTTGGCGAACTCGATGGGAAATGGTGGTGGGCGCAAAGCTCGGGTACGGCTCTGGTTTCTGAGCTCTTGGCCGCTCTGCAACCCGGAGATATCCGTTGGGAGGAGGCTCGGTTATGGCCCAAGCATAAAATGGGGCTATGATCTGCTCCAAGATTGATTGACTTCAATCCTGCTAGTGCCTATCGAAGTCCGTCCATTGTGACCGATCAACGGAGCCGGTCAATAGCACGAATGACTGTCTAACCAGAGGATGATCAATTGGATTAACGCGCGGCATTATAAACAAGATTAGAATGCTCTTGGACAATTGCGAGGCAAGCCACTCCGTACGACCTCCTTTGAATACAAGACAGCTTGGAACAACATTCAGGAACACTAAAGCTTCGCCAACTTCTTTGCTGTGTTCTCATATATCTCCTTGATCCTCGCTGAATTGAGCTTGTCAACGTCATGCTTACAGGCAGCCAAGCTCAATGGTCCAGCCATTTGCTTTAGCCAATACGATCTGCCACAGTCAAACACCCAGTTACGTGTACTGACCTTAACCAGATCAGCTAGGAGCGATTGCGGGGCGCTTCGGTCTTGGGTGAATATGAGAGTGGGTAACTCTTTCTGAATCGACGGAGGGGCGCTGGACTCTGCGAGACGCAAGAAGTCGTCAAAAGTGAACGGCACATAGAGTTGAGCTCCGAGATGAACAATTCCCTGAGTCCTCGCCGCCGCATGCAGGAGACAGCCATTCGCGACAAAATCGACGGGAATCTCGTCTACGATATTTGCACCTGTCTCGTAACCCTCGGTGGCGTGCCAGACATGTGTTCCCCCGCGATCCGCAAAGAACAGACTGGCAAATTTATTCATCGGCGTGGAGTTGATGGGCCCGTACAGAGGGTACGGATCCCGTATTGCTGCGCCGAAAATGGTGGGACGGACAAGCAGCAGGGGCAGAAGAGGGTATCTCTTCAACAACAACCGTTCCATGAGGTATTTTGCATGGGTATACGATGATGAAAACCGAGCGGTGTCAGGAGATTTGCCTGTCGAAAGTATAGCCGCGAGCTCATCTTCTGGATCTGCGTCGGAGATGGAATACAGTCGCTCTCCGACTTGACCATCTGGCAAGAAGCTGCTGACATACGCCGTAGAGATCTGGACGAACAGCTTCAACCGTCTGAACCTTGAAATTATCTTCGCAAGCTCAAGGGAAGGGAGGCAGTTGTTCTCGATCGCTTCCACGATGCCTGCGTCAAGCGTGATCGTGGCTGCTGTATGAATAACAAGAGTGGCCTCTTCACGCAGTCGCCTCAACTCAGAATCTTCGATACCAAAGTCCGTCTGCTTGATGTCACCAACGACAAAATGCACCTTGCCGGTGTTGAGTATCGCCTGAGTCTGTTTCGGCATGAGCCTCCGCCATTTTTCAATGGCAGACTCAGCCGATCCGCGGATCAAAACGAAGATCTTGTGGGTAGGAAGCTGGAGTGCCAACTTGTAAAGAAGACATCCTCCCAGTGATCCAGTACTGCCCGTGAGGAAGACAGAGTGTCTCGTGAAAGTCTTTGCATATCCATTCCTCAGGATCTCATTCTCTGCCGTTGTGGCTGACATGGCTAACCTGGTGGAATTTTTCCAGATGACGTCTGGAGCGATGTCATTCACCGAGTCCTGGAAACATTATATTGTGAAGCTGCAAAGCTACAAATATAAGATGACTGAGTTGATCATGACGACTTTACACCGCGGTTCGACACTTCCTCTATGTGCAATTCACATATGATTCCATCCATATCTCAGCTCGTTCTGAGCCGGCGCTGTAACACAACTTAGACAGTTGTGCCCTTCAAATTCCTCTAAGCGCCAATGGAGAAGTCCAATACCACATTTTTGGAACAGTCTCTGCGTCAATTGGCTCCTGAAAGGGACCATCTTTTGCGTTCAACCGATATGCTGGATATCGAATTCCAGTCCCTTCCTCAATTTGTCAACATGTGCAGCCGAGGATATGCTTTTGTACAACCTTTATGAACTTCTTCGTTCCACGGACTGGTTCCCAAATCGAGCGCATCATTAGTGTAGTGCTCTGCGGCATGGAGTTGTGGTGATTTTCTCAATAGACTACCTGAATACTACGAAGAAACTAAGTGGTACAGATGTCACACACGGTGGCATTGTGGTGGTGGGAAGTCCCTCTGGACGTCCCTTACGGACGCTGCACACCCAGGCCGTTATACTTTTCTCACTTCGAGACATCACTCATGGAAAATGTTCAGTCAAATAGACCGTTATACTTAAGTGAGGTCGTTACACGGGCTGTATACATTGCATAAGCATTCCAACCACTTCCGTGTACGCAAGTCATAAATAGTACAAAAATGTATTTGCATGTGTTCAAAACTCTGCAGTGAGCTGTATGTCATGTCAAAATATACAGAAATGATGGCTGCAATCAGGGGCTTTTGTTGCCCCCTCCGCACCAGCAGCGCCCATCGCCCTCTCGCTCGACCTGGACAAGGATGTCCATGTCCTTTTCGCGGAGGTAGTTGACCGTCCGTTGTCGCACATCCTCTAGGTCGGCTCCTCGAGACGCAATGACATGAATCACCCCGAGCACGTTTGCTTTGTGTTTCTCATGAGAATGGTCGTGGTCATGATGGTGGTCATGATGGTGGTCGTGGTCGTGGTCGTGGTCGTGGTCGTGTTCGTGTTCGTGGCCATGGCTGTGGTTGTGATTGTGACTATGAGAATGGCTATGGCTATGGCTGTGACTGTGACTGTGACTATGGCCATGGCCATGACCATGATGGTGGTCATGTCCCGAGGCCGATCCTGTATCGTCTAACCAAAACTTGGGCACTGTGTATCCCACAACTCCTCGCAGAGAGCTGACACCGGCCAAAGTTTCACGGACATTGTATTCAACGTCGGCGGGAAGGGCGAGCAATAGGGTCTTAGCAGTACTGCTGACTAGTGGGACCGCCGAGGCAAAGATCAAAATGGCAATCAAACATGAGGCAATAGGGTCGTATCCTGCCCAGCCTGAGAAGTGCACAAGAATGGTGGATATCACAACCGCCACGGAGCCAAGAGTGTCAGCTAGAATATGGAGGAAGATACCGTGCATATTCTCGTTCCCATGTGAGTGTGAATGACCATGATCGTGTCCGTGTGCGTGGGCGTGGTCGAATGCCATGATACCCACAAGATTCACTACCAGACCAGCAACGCTGACCGCCAACAATTCGCCCAGTCGATGCATCTGACTTCCGGAGGAAAGTCGCTCCACAGCTTCGTAAATGATCTCAATACTTATGATCCTGGGTAATTGTCAGGTTTAAGCTTCATTGAAAGGTGGATTCAAATCGTACATGAGAAAAATTCCGTTGGCGAATCCGGAAAGAGTATCAACCTTCCCATAGCCATAAGGGAACCAAGCACTTGGCGGCCACTTGCTCATAACGGCAGCACAAAGGCCGACAACAAGTGCAAGGCAATCGAAAAACATGTGTATGCTGTCACTGAGCAGTCCCAAGGACCCGGTGATGAAGCCGTAAGATAATTGGACCAACATAAAGGTGAAATTCAAGCTATAAAATAGCATCAGTCGTCGTCCCTAAAGGCAAAGAGGTGTACATGCATACCTCATGAAGTAGAATATACGTCGAGAATCCCTTTCTTTGAGGATACTGTACAACAGGGGGTAAGGTTCGCTGTAGCGAAGAAGGGCCTTGGTCACCCGAGAGGCTGGAGCCGCTGAGTGGCCATGATGATGATCGTGATGAGAATGGCGCTCAAGGCGTAGCCGGCGGTCATCGAATCGAGCGGCGAAGAACGACACCGCCGCCATCGTGCACCGCGATGCAAAGACCACCCAGTTATCAGCAGCTACAGGTGGCGAAGATAGAAATCCTGCTGCTGCAATACCTGTAGCGAGACCCCATTTGTGCAGCGAACGCAGATTTGGTGGGTTTGAAAAGAGTAAGGATGTTGCGTAGCTACCGGCTGTTGCCAGGAGGTACATCGCATCCAATGCCGAGAGGAAAGGGATACCGAAGAGAACGAAGCCGACTAGCCCAACAACGAGCCCGAGTATCAAGGTCAACATACCATCGTCCGGCGAGACGACAGATAATGAGCCAAAGTTCCGGACTACCGAAGTGTCCGATTGCGAGGAAGCCGAGACACCAAAACCGGAGCCCCGAGAAGAATTTGACAGGCCGACATCTGCAAAAGGGGGAGGAATGACGAAAACTGACAATAACAAGGAGAGATAGCCGGAGATCGACTTCGACTGCTGGGAGCCAATCAAACCGAAAAAGCTCAACACCAGGATTATGAGTATCAGAGCAACTGTGACTTTCTTGTGGACCAGCTTTTCGCGAGCGTCGCTGCCAGCAGCGCGGCCTTTGGCAAGAGCGGGCAACCCGGATGCTGCTGCGAGAAGCGAACCCAACGCGACAAGGAACCCACTGACTTCGAGCGCTGCGTATATAGGCAGTGCAATTGAGCATATGCGAGCAAGCGCTACACCTGCGGTATCTGCCCTAAGATTTGGAACTTTGACCATGGGTTTGTTCCCATCCCGTGCAGACCATTGAAGTTGGCCAACACCCGTCATGACCATAGTGACAGCTGTCAGACTGCAGGTCTTTAGAACTGCTTGATCCAGACTACCACCGGCCAACGTTTTCGCGTCAGTGCTGTCCTTATTCGGGACAGCTGAGTTCCAATGGGCATATTGCTTGTAGTACCACGATAAGGCGATCCAGGGTAGAGCGATCAGCAGACCTGAGACGAGTTCGCGACTAGAAGAAAAAATGTCACTTAGTTGATCCGTCGTTTCTTATCAGGATCACTCACTTGGTGCTGGATGGAAAATCAGTCGAGATGACAGAAGCATCACGCGCGCGCAATTCTGTAGTATCTTCTGTCTTTTCAGTTGGATGATAATGCGCTGAATGTCCGTGGTTGCAGCTCCCTGAGTGGTTGGCTGAACCGTGCGAGTGCGAGTGGTGGTGATTGTGCGATGTCGACCCTAACGCAGAGCCATTGGGTGAAGTTTCGTTTACAGCAGGGAGATTCGGTTGCATTGGACTCGCAGAACCATTCAAAGAAGGCAGCGGCTGGCCTACTGAGGGTTGTGT